CTAGAGACTAAAGAATCTAGACTAGAGCACACTTCAAATTGTAACAATCTTTCTAGCCATGCCTCTGGTTTCCACCTTTCAATACAGGCTTGACGGATGGATGATAGATTGAGTGGACTAAAACAATATTTAGTGTCTTAAACACATGAACGGGCTCTCAAAAAGGACCCCCTCCCCCCTTTCCTCTTAAGCCGTGCCCAAACTAAAAGTGCAGTAAACACACTCTGATCACACACACACACACACACACACACACACACACACAGGGGATGAAAGAAACCACACTAATGACAAGGTACAACTCTGTCCACTTAATGCTTCAAAGATTGAGCTGGGGGGCCCTTGAACCTCTGCCCCTCCCAATCCCACCACAATTAGCCAGGCCTGAGAGACCACTGGCAGCCTGCATCCCTGGATCAACCATCTTCAGAGATACAGCTCCAAATGAAAACAAAGAGGTACACACTAACACTGGCTTCCTTTAATCATCCTCTCTCACAACGAGATCAGATTTTTCCCATTTCGGACATGGCGGATGAGATCCACATGACAAATGTACAACAACGACTCAAACGAACGTCAGTCAATAAAACCTTTTGATACGTTAATTTTAAAAGAATCAGATTCAAAACAATTTTAAAACCAACCCGAGCTAATAATCCATTCTACTGACAATAGAAGGTCAAGATGACGTTTCTGTCTAGGTTATAGGTTGAGAGCTTTTGTGAAAGAGCAAAGTTAGAAAGATATGGCATATAGAAGCAAACCGGATGGACATCATGGAAATGATCGGAGAGGTTGAGGGTAGAGGAAGTTGAGGAGTAAAAGAAAACAAAATATAATTATTGTAAAATTCACTGTGTCCATAAAATGTATATAGTATGTATAAACTGGAAGTAGAGGCCTAAGCGTTGTTGTTCACTAGTGTACTCCAATTAGGGGAGGGGTGGTGGGGTTGGAAAGTAATAAAGGGAAATATATTTTTAAAGGATATGGATAGATGTGTGTGTACATACATATATACACATTTCAAAAATGTTATAAATTGATTAGCATTTTAATGAGGGAAATAATTATTTGACCCTTCTGCAAAACATGACTTAGTACTTGGTGGCAAAACCCTTGTTGGCAATCAGAGGTCAGACGTTTCTTGTAGTTGGCCACCAGGTTTGCATACATCTCAGGAGAGATTTTGTCCCACTCCTCTTTGCAGATCTTCTCCAAGTCATTAAGGTTTCGAGCCTGACTTTTGGCAACTCAAACCTTCAGCTCCCTCCACAGATTTTCTATGGGATTAAGGTCTGGAGACTGGCTAGGCCACTCCAGGACCTTAATGTTCTTCTTCTTGAGCCACTCCTTTGTTGCCTTGGCCGTGTGTTTTGGGTCATTGTCATGCTGGAATACCCATCCACTACCCATTTTCAATGCCCTGGCTGAGGGAAGGAGGTTCTCACCCAAGATTTGACGGTACATGGCCCTGTCCATCGTCCCTTTGATGCGGTGAAGTTGTCCTGTCCCCTTAGCAGAAAAACACCCCCAAAGCATAATGTTTCCACCTCCATGTTTGACGGTGGGGATGGTGTTCTTGGGGTCATAGGCAGCATTCCTCCTCCTCCAAACACGGCGAGTTGAGTTGATGCCAAAGAGCTCGATATTGGTCTCATCTGACCACAATACTTTCACCCAGTTCTCCTCTGAATCATTCAGATGTTCATTGGCAAACTTCAGACGGGCCTGTATATGAGCTTTCTTGAGCAGGGGGACCTTGCGGGCGCTGCAGTATTTCAGTCCTTCACGGCGTAGTGTGTTACCAATTGTTTTCTTGGTGACTATGGTCCCAGCTGCCTTGAGATCATTGACAAGATCCTCCCGTGTAGTTCTGGGATGATTCCTCACCGTTCTCATGATCATTGCAACTCCACGAGGTGAGATCTTGCATGGAGCCCCAGGCCGAGGGAGATTGACAGTTATTTTGTGTTTCTTCCATTTGCGAATAATCGCAGCAACTGTTGTCACCTTCTCACCAAGCTGCTTGGCGATGGTCTTGTAGCCCATTCCAGCCTTGTGTAGGTCTACAATCTTGTCCCTGACATCGTTGGAGAGCTCTTTGGTCTTGGCCATGGTGGAGAGTTTGGAATCGGATTGATTGATTGCTTTTATACAGGTAACCAACGGAGATTAGGAGCACTCCCTTTAAGAGTGTGCTCCTAATCTCAGCTCGTTACCTGTATAAAAGACACCTGGGAGCCAGAAATCTCTGATTGAGAGGGGGTCAAATACTTATTTCCCTCATTAAAATGCAAATCAATTTATAAAATTTTTGACATGCGTTTTTCTGGATTGTTTTGTTGTTATTCTGTCTCTCACTGTTCAAATAAACCTACCATTAAAATTATAGACTGATCATTTCTTTGTCAGTGGGCAAACAAAATCAGCCGGGGATCAAATACTGTATGTATGTATGTATGTATGTATGTATACATACACACACACACACAGTGAGGGGAAGAAAGTATTTGATCCCCTGCTTATTTTGTACGTTTGCCCACTGACAAAGAAATGATCAGTCTATAATTGTAATGGTAGGTTTATTTGAACAGTGAAAGAACAGTGTGAAATGTTAGAATAATAGTAGAGAGAATGATTTATTTCAGCTTTTATTTCTTTCATCACATTCCCAGTGGGTCAGAAGTTTACATACACTCAATTAGTATTTGTTAGCATTGCCTTTAAATTGTTTAACTTGGGTCAAACGTTTTGGGTAGCCTTCCACAATAAGTTGGGTGAAATTTGGCCAATTCCTCCTGACAGAGCTGGTGTAACTGAGAGGTTTGTAGGCCTCCTTGCTCGCACACACTTTTTCAGTTCTGCCCACACATTTTCTATAGGATTGAGGTCAGGGCTTTGTGATGGCCACTCCAATACCTTGACTTTGTTGTCCTTAAGCCATTTTGCCACAACTTTGGAAGTATGCTTTGGGATCATTGTCCATTTGGAAGACCCATTTGCGACCAAGCTTTAACTTCCTGACTGATGTCTTGAGATGTTGCTTCAATATTTCCACTTACATTTTCCTTCCTCATGATGCCATCTATTTTGTGAAGTGCACCAGTCCCTCCTGCAGCAAAGCAACCCCACAGCATGATGCTACCACCCTGTGCTTCACGGTTGGGATGGTGTTCGTCGGCTTGCAAGCGTCCCCCTTTTTCTTCCAAACATAACGATGGTCATTATGGCCAAACAGTTCTATTTTTGTTTCATCAGACCAGAGGACATTTGTCCATAAAGTACAATCTTTGTCCCCATGTGCAGTTGCAAACCGTAGTCTGGCTTTTTTATGGCGGTTTTGGAGCAGTGGCTTCTTCCTTGCTGAGCGGCCTTTCAGGTTATGCCGATATAGGACTAGTTTTACTGTGGATATAGATACTTTTGTACCAGCATCTTCACAAGGTCCTTTGCTGTTGTTCTGGGATTGATTTGTACTTTTCGCACCAAAGTATCTCCCGAGTGGCGCAGTGGTCTAAGGCACTGCATCGCAGTGCTAGCTGTGCCACTAGAGATCCTGGTTCGAATCCAGGCTCTGTCGTAGCCGGCCGCGACCGGGAGACCTATGGGGCGGCGCACAATTGGCCCAACGTCGTCCAGGGTAGGGGAGGGAATGGCCTGCAGGGATGTAGCTCAGTTGATATAGCATGGTGTCTGCAACGCCAGGGTTGTGGGTTCGATTCCCACGGGGGGCCAGTATGAAAAATAAAAATAAATGATGTATGCACTCACTAACTGTAAGTCGCTCTGGATAAGAGCGTCTGCTAAATGACTAAAATGTAAATGTAAAGTACGTTCATCTCTAGGAGACAGAACGAGTCTCCTTCCTGAGCGGTATGACGGCTGTGTGGTCCCATGGTGTTTATACTTGCATACTATTGTTTGTACAGATGAACGCGGTACCTTCAGGCGTTTGGAAATTGCTCCCAAGGATGAACCGACTTGTGGAGGTCTACTATTTTATTTCTGAGGTCTTTGCTGATTTCTTCTCATTTTCCCATGATGTCAAGCAAAGAGGCACTGAGTTTGAAGGTAGGCCTTGAAATACATCCACAGGTACACCTCCAATTGACTCAAATGATGTCAATTAGCCAGAAGCTTCTAAAGGCATGACATCATTTTATGGAATTTTCCAAGCTGTTTAAAGGCACAGTCAACTTAGTGTATGTAAACTTCTGACCCACTGGAATTGTGATACAGTGAATTATAAGTCAAATAATCTGTTTGTGCATGACAGAAGTAATATTTCCAACAATTGTTTACAAAGTAGATGTCCTAACCGACTTGCCAAAACTATAGTTTGTTAACAAGAAATGTGTGGAGTGGTTGAAAAACAAGTTTTAAATGACTCCAACCTTAGAGTATGTAAACTTCCGACTTCAACTGTATATACAGTGGGAAGAACAAGTATTTGATAACCTGCAAAATCAGCAGTGTTTCCTACTTACAAAGCATGTAGAGGTCTGTAATTGTTATCATAGATACACTTCAACTGTGAGAGACGGAATCTAAAACAAAAATCCAGAAAATCACATTGTATGATTTTTAAGTAATTAATTTGCATTTTATCTACTCGGTTTGATTACAAGTCAGCCTGCAGGCGCCCGGCCCACCACAAGGAGTCACTAGAGCGTGATGACGCCTAACCCGGACGACGCTGGGCCAATTGTGCGCTGCCCTATGGGACTCCCAGTCACGGCCGGTTGTGACACAGCCTGGGATCGAACCCGGGTCTGTAGGTCTGTAGTGACGCCTCAAGCACTGCATCATCAAGACCGCTGCACCACTCGGGAAGCCCAAGCGAAGGTCTTTTAAGGGAGTATGTGAGCACACTCGTTTGGGTCGCCTAGCCGACTTCGGCTAGCCGCCAGCCGAACTGAAACATGCTGACGCCTTAAGCGACAGGTTTGCTCACCGTTCTCCTTCTCCTCTCCGATGCACTTGCTGATGGACTCTGGGAGGCCCAGGCTGGCTGCGGTGGGCATGGGCCCTAGGAGGGAGACCAGCGATGGGCCTCTGCGTGGAGGTCTTTCCTTCTGCCTCTCTCCATCCCCTTCCTCCTCCTCACCAGAGAGAACCTGGTCACACAGGTCCTTGTTGAGGTGCTGGGCCACAGCCTTCAGCTCCTCGTCCTCCCCATCAGGAAGAGATATTTCATCATCATCATCATCATCATCATCATCATCCTCCTCTTTTTCCTGGGGATCTAGGAGAGGGGGAGAAAAAGAACAAGACATGTACTTACATTTCTTCATGAAACTGATAAAAACTTAATTATCTGACATGATGCAGAAAATGATTTCCTCAATAATCCTACGGTACCATTAAGCTGTCAAAGTATCATCATGATGACAGCCCTCTTAGTGTTGATAAAAGCCCAATGTGTGTTATAATTTTGACTCCCAGCCCAGGCAGAGGAGCAACAGGCCTGCAACATGCTGCCAGACAGACAGCGGCCTCCCCTGCTGAGGCCATGCAGTGGTCATGCAACACAACCAGCTAGAGGGGTGCAGATGGTTAGAGAGTTTAGCCCATCACAGTTAGATAGACAGCAAAGGTGCGTCATCATAACATTCTCATTTGCACTTTGAGTGAACATCAAATTTGGTCAACTAAAAAAAAATATTTCTGTGTATTTAGAGATGTTTCAGGCTCTAGCGACAATAGACTGGCAGAATAGTGAGATATTCCCTCCTCCACAGGGGGTTCTAGCTGATGGACTGGCATGGCTGTCGAGCGCAGCCGTACCCCTCTGCGCCGTACCCCTCTGCGCCGTACCCCTCTGCGCCGTACCGGTTTTTGCATAGGAGCCATACATCCCTCTCAACTTGGTCCGGCTCTGCTCCAGCTCCATCTCAATCTCATCCTGGTACTCATGGATCTCGCCTGTTGAGATAAAACCCAAACAACTCTGCTGACTCCACTCTAACTTTATATTCTTTGGAACTTTATGAAGAGTTTTTTGGTTAAAACTGGACTAGACACTGATCATAACGGTACCTTGAACATCGCCAATCTTCTTCTCCAATTCTTCCTCAAGCTAGAAGAAAAAAAACTAAAGATCAGTGTGAGTAAAAAAAAAAAGAACGTACCACATTGGGACAAAACACAGGTTAAAACACGGGACAAGATAAATAAATAAGGGGGGCACAGTTGTATCCTCTTGGCAGTTCCTCCTCACCAGCTTCATTCTTTTCTTCCTCTGGCCAGCGATGAAAGAGGGCGGGTCACATTCCTGGTCAAGATCCACTTTCATGAACTCCTCAATGGTCAGCTGACTGGTGGGCGTGTCCTCAAACTCATTCAACCTGAACCATGAGAAAGAAAATAGTCAGCATACTCCTCATAGAGATGACTGAGAACATGCAAGGCTAAATCAGATTTCCTTTAGAGGATGCTGTAATGTGCTTCTCAAGCAGCTCTCACCTCTTTCTTAGTGTGGCCTCGCACACCTTCACTACACTGATGATTTCTTTGATGGTACGGCGGAACTCGTGCATGCGAGCAGCGACCAACAGTGCTGAGAACACAAACACACACACACAGGTGAAACAAACTATCCATCACACACACACACACACACCCCCCTTGCCGGCACATACAGTGAGGGAAAAAAGTATTTGATCCCCTGCTGATTTTGTACATTTGCCCACTGACAAAGACATGATCAGTCTATAATTTTAATGGTAGGTTTATTTGAACAGTGAGAGACAAACGCATGTCAAAAATGTTATAAATTGATTTGCATTTTAATTAGGGAAATAAGTATTTGACCCCCTCTCTATCAGAAAGATTTCTGGCTCCCAGGTGTATTTTATACAGGTAATGAGCTGAGATTAGGAGCACACTCTTAAAGGGAGTGCTCCTAATCTCAGCTTGTTACCTGTATAAAAGACACCTGCCCACAGAAGCAATCAATCAATCAGATTCCAAACTCTCCACCATGGCCAAGACCAAAGAGCTCTCCAAGGATGTCAGGGACAAGATTGTAGACCTACACAAGGCTGGAATGGGCTACAAGACCATCGCCAAGCAGCTTGGTGAGAAGGTGACAACAGTTGGTTTGATTATTCGCAAATGGAAGAAACAAAATATCTGTCAATCTCGGTGAGGAATCAGCCCAGAACTACACGGGAGGATCTTGTCAATGATCTCAAGGCAGCTGGGACCATAGTCACCAAGAAAACAATTGGTAACACACTACGCCGTGAAGGACTGAAATACTGCAGCGCCCGCAAGGTCCCCCTGCTCAAGAAAGCACATATACAGGCCCGTCTGAAGTTTGCCAATGAACATCTGAATGATTCAGAGGAGAACTGGGTGAAAGTGTTGTGGTCAGATGAGACCAAAATGGAGCTCTTTGCCATCAACTCAACGTGTTTGGAGGAGGAGGAATGCTGCCTATGACCCCAAGAACATCATCCCCACCGTCAAACATGGAGGTGGAAACATTATGCTTTGGGGGTGTTTTTCTGCTAAGATAACAGGACAACTTTGACGGACGATGGACGGGGACATGTACCGTCAAATCTTGGGTCGTGGAAAATGGGTCGTGGATGGGTATTCCAGCATGACAATGACCCTAAACACACGGCCAAGGCAACAAAGGAGTGGCTCAAGAAGAAGCACATTAAGGTCCTGGAGTGGCCTAGCCAGTCTCCAGACCTTAATCCCATAGAAAATCTGTGGAGGGAGCTGAAGGTTTGAGTTGCCAAACGTCAGCCTCGAAACCTTAATGACTTGGAGAAGATCTGCAAAGAGGAGTGGGACAAATTCCCTCCTGAGATGTGTGCAAACCTGGTGGCCAACTACAAGAAATGTCTGACCTCTGATTGCCAACAAGGGTTTTGCCACCAAGTGCTAAGTCATATTTTGCAGGAGGGGTCAAATACTTATTTCCCCCATTAAAATGCAAATCAATTTATAACATTTTTGACATGCATTTTTCTGGACTTTTTTGTTGTTATTCTGTCTCTCACTGTTCAAATAAACCTAACATTAAATTATAGACTGATCATGTCTTTGTCAGTGGGCAAACGTACAAAATCAGCAGGGGATCAAATACTTTTTTCCCCTCACTGTAAATACACATTTGCTTTAAATGAGTCAGAGGACAAAGTGTGCATAATTCCTTATGAATTGTTTATTAACTACAGTGGGGGGAAAAAGTATTTAGTCAGCCACCAATTGTGCAAGTTCTCCCACTTAAAAAGATGAGAGAGGCCTGTAATTCTCATCATAGGTACACGTCAACTATGACAGACAAAATGAGAAAAGAAAATCCAGAAAATCACATTGTAGGATTTTTAATGAATTTATTTGCAAATTATGGTGGGAAATAAGTATTTGGTCAATAACAAAAGTTTCTCAATACTTTGTCATATACCCTTTGTTGGCAATGACACAGGTCAAACGTTTTCTGTAAGTCTTCACAAGGTTTTCACACACTGTTGCTGGTATTTTGGCCCATTCCTCCATGCAGATCTCCCCTAGAGCAGTGATGTTTTGGGGCTGTCGCTGGGCAACACGGACTTTCAACTCCCTCCAAAGATTTTCTATGGGGTTGAGATCTGGAGACTGGCTAGGCCACTCCAGGACCTTGAAATGCTTCTTACGAAGCCACTCCTTCGTTGCCCGGGCGGTGTGTTTGGGATCACTGTCATGCTGAAAGACCCAGCCACGTTTCATCTTCAATGCCCTTGCTGATGGAAGGAGGTTTTCACTCAAAATCTCACGACACATGGCCCCATTCATTCTTTCCTTTACACAGATCAGTCGTCCTGGTCCCTTTGCAGAAAAACAGCCCCAAAGCATGATGTTTCCACCCCCATGCTTCACAGTAGGTATGGTGTTCTTTGGATGCAACTCAGCATTCTTTGTCCTCCAAACGCGACGAGTTGAGTTTTTACCAAAAAGTTCTATTTTGGTTTCATCTGACCATATGACATTCTCCCAATCCTCTTCTGGATCATCCAAATGCACTCTAGCAAACTTCAGACGGGCCTGGACATGTACTGGCTTAAGCAGGGGGACACGTCTGGCACTGCAGGATTTGAGTCCCTGGCGGCGTAGTGTGTTACTGATGGTAGGCTTTGTTACTTTGGTCCCAGCTCTCTGCAGGTCATTCACTAGGTCCCCCCGTGTGGTTCTGGGATTTTTGCTCACCGTTCTTGTGATCATTTTGACCCCACAGGGTGAGATCTTGAGTGGAGCCCCAGATCGAGGGAGATTATCAGTGGTCTTGTATGTCTTCCATTTCCTAATAATTGCTCCCACAGTTGATTTCTTCAAACCAAGCTGCTTACCTATTGCAGATTCAGTCTTCCCAGCCTGGTGCAGGTCTACAATTTTGTTTCTGGTGTCCTTTGACAGCTCTTTGGTCTTGGCCATAGTGGAGTTTGGAGAGTGACTGTTTGAGGTTGTGGACAGGTGTCTTTTATACTGATAACAAGTTCAAACAGGTGCCATTAATACAGGTAAGGAGTGGAGGACAGAGGCGCCTCTTAAAGAAGAAGTTACAGGTCTGTGAGAGCCAAAAAATCTTGCTTGTTTGTAGGTGACCAAATACTTATTTTCCACCATAATTTGCAAATAAATTCATAAAAAATCCTACAATGTGATTTTCTGGATTTTTTTCCCTCATTTTGTCTGTCATAGTTGACGTGTACATATGATGAAAATTACAGGCCTCTCATCTTTTCAAGTGGGAGAACTTGCACAACTGGTGGCTGACTAAATACTTTTTTTCCCCACTGTACCATTAAAATTATAGACTGATCATGTCTTTGTCAGTGGGCAAACGTACAAAATCAGCAGGGGATCAAATACTTTTTTCCTTCACTGTATGTTTTCCAATTTACTCACCAAATGTTGTGTAGTATTAATGTAATAACGTCATAATAATCTATTAATGATAATTTAAGTCATTAGATAAATTATCAATTCAGTTTTACAGTAACCCATGCTACTGTGCATGGAGTCAGTTACATAACGCAAGGTCTGTTTAAAGATGGATGTACGGTTCCGTTTTTTTACACAAGCAGTTTGAATAGTCTTTGACGTTCTAGTAGCCGGCTTTTAGCAATCCCACGGTATCTCTCGCACATTCACTTCATATTGAGTAAGAAGCTCATCTAAACTTTTCCTTCCTTCATGTAAGCGAATCCTCTCAATGATTAATGATAAGCAATTAATTATTCAGATATTGCAGCTGCAGAGGAGAGAAAGGGAGAAAAGTGAAAATAGGAGCGTAAATGTCCACATGCCCGGGGAGGTTGGTTCTTCAGTTTCAGGATTTCTTGACAGCAATACGTCTGAGCAGGGTTCTGTTCAGGTCCACGAAGTAGAGAACAGACTGCAGTACATTGTCACTGATTGGAGCCTGTGGTTACTTATGAGTGTTACCTATGAACAAAGGTCACCTGTGATTCTAACTATAAGTCGCTCTGGATAAGAGCGTCTGCTAAATGACTAATGTAATGTAATTGTAGCTGAATCTGACCTATGATTACAGTTCTCTGTGGTGTGGGATACCAGTGGACATGGTTCCCCTGTGATTTATCTTATTTATGACGAGGGTTAGCCTACCTGTGATTGTGGTGGTAACCTGTGGTGTGATTTAACTGTGCTCATGGTTACCTGCGCCACACAGTCCTGAGGGCCTCCGTCCAGTGTGCATCCAGTCCCTCTTCATCCTCTGCAGCAGTCTCAGTGCTGTCATGGACACCTCATGGTTCTTCTCCCCAAACTCCAGCATGTGAGCAAAGCGAGGGATGTACAGGCAGGGGTCTAGAATGAGAATGATACACTCTTCGAGATCCAACCGAGACAAGCAATATTATTATGCATTGCAGAGGTCTCAATGATATACAGGGTTTAAAACTGTGTGTAGACTACATTGATCAGAAAGTGGTATGGTCTTCTTTAATTAAAATGTAAGAAGTTTTGGATATCTTCATATCATTCCCAGTGGATCACATTGTGACCAATAAGGACAAATAGTTATACTTAGTTATGACTGTCAGATCAAAACGATCCATTAGTGTACAGTTGGGATAGAGAAAGCACTGTGTCAACTGTGGGGGCGCCCATGCAGCTGGGGATCCGAAGTGCCCTGTGAGAGAGAGACCGGTTGAGATTGCCTGAGTTCGAGTGGGGCAGAAATGTTCCTATGCTCAGACATTGAAGAGGATAGCCCAAAGGTGAGTGATTTGACTGGGAGCCCCCCCAGTGAGTAGGCCTGAAGAGAGATCCAGAGGATGAGTTTTAGTCAGGTTGGATTTCATGTGTTTATAGCCATGGTGATCAACTGCACTGCACTGATGGAGCAGAAATCACAGAAGATAGATGTGGTAGTTGCAGCAGAAGATAAATATTTGGTGTGAGAGATTTTAGTGCATAAGATCTACAGGAACTTTTGAGAGAAGGGGTTCCATCCTCCCAGGCTGATGGACTGGTGTAATTTAGGGCCAAAGTAGTGGGATGGGGTGGTGGGTGTTTGGGGATGTTTAGATGCCGGGTTAGATGGTGGTGCAAATTTTCCCATTCCCCTTTTGTTTGTGACCAAAATGTGCAATCTACACTCCCACGTGCGAAAGGCAGCAATATGCAACACAGTGTCTAGTCTGCTGGAAATGTACACCAAGACAACAAAATGATCCTATTGGCAGCAGCAGAGCCCTCTGTGGAAAGCCGGTAGAGCTGACTGGTAATAGGATATGGCCAGACCCCAACCCCTGTCCCTAACCAACCTCTTCGATACTAACATGGCTGCTGGGCTGGCTCTACTCAAGTCTCAACGAAGGAAACTTCAGGAACTGTCCCCTCTATTATCTAACACGCCCACATTCAGCCAAGGTAAACACAAGTGCGGTCTCGTGCTCTCACAGATTTTGCGCGTGCCATGCATTCAAAAAGTGGTGAGGCCGATGTTATCTCAGCAATGCAAAACAGGAACAAACAATAAAGCTCAACTAATTTAGCGACATCCCAAACGTTCTTATTTCTGACGAGTGGAGCTATTAAACAACTAAATCAATCGGACATTAAATTAAGAACAGTTTAAATCCAAATTACACAGTGATAGCGCATAGGCTATAATCAGTCATTTAAATAAATGTAGGCTATTATTACATCAGAAACGATGACCGGGTTATAATGTTTTCACTGTAACAGTTTGTGCTGTATCAGTCGGACGCTGCAGTGAATTTTAGAGTGGGAGCTGGTGAGAAGCTATTTTTTTTGTGGTTAAGAGGCTTGGGGGAGGCTCTTCTGTGCTTCTGACGTTGACGGTATGCGTAAATCTGATTTGTTGGCAGCGAGCTGGGCGTCGTTGAGGATTACACCAAAAATATAAAAAATAGACAGCAACTAAAACTCTAGACCCGACATATTACGATTCACATCGTATCCAGACAGCAGCTACGGGGTAACCCACGCCTTGTCCTCGTTGATAAGTAGCTTTGAGAAAAACATCTGCCAGTATTTGCTCAGGAAAACAGCGGACGATTATATGGATTTACCATCCGCTCGAAAAGCGAGAACATAATACGTTTCGGGGAGACAACTCAGCCGCAACAAGAGGATGAAATGAGAAAGAAAAAAGTATTCAGCTTGAAGTTGGAATACAACCCCACTTGACGGATATTTTTTATGTTGCTCTTACAATTGATCCGGGGTTAGTAGACTTCATAATCGCTGAATGTATGCAGCATAATTCTATAAATGACACGATTTGTGTATCAATTGTCAACGCAGAATAATAGCTACTACAGTAGATCCTAAAGTTCGTGGTTTATTTATAGGAAAGGGACCAACGCTTTGTGTGCGGATGCCAACAGCAGATTGCAGGTTGCTCCATCATGGTCGGATCATGAAGTGTTTGACTTTTTTACTCTTACTTCCAGAAACACTTAAAAAGTCTAAAAAGACTGGGAAACACACAGGCAGGTTACCAGTATGCTATGAGATTCTAACCCTGTCCCTGGAGAAGAAGATGGCTGCAGAACTGTACCCTGCGACCACCAACCTAACCAACAACTGTACAACGGTGACTGCCAGTGACAAGAAAAGTGATGTGCAGGTCACCCAGTCAACAACCACTGCAACAACACCGACCACCCAGCAAAACATAAACAACAACAATGTCGATCCTGCCAGCTGGCAGTCCTCTCACCCCACGCTACGGGAGAGGTAGTCTCAACTTCTTACTTATAATTCATTCTTTCTATTTAGTCAAAATATTGACTTGGTTTACAATAGCCTATTAGTTATGGGATACTACTTCATACTGTAGTTTATGTCCATAGTTAGTCACATCGCATTGTGCAGGCTATAATATATGTATGACTGGCAAAAGACAAGCCCTATATGGAATAGGCCAAGTTGTCATGATACCTTATTGATAATCTTCTCCCTTCTAGGAATGCCTTGATGTTCAACAATGAACTCATGGCCGATATACATTTAATTGTTGGTCCCCCTGGTGAATCTCAGAAAGTGCCAGTGCACAAGGTAAGCTCCATCTCCAGTTGGAAAAATAAGTAGACTTTTCAGAACAATCACAAAATATGATGAGTGACTAATGTGTCCGTTTGTCTTTCCCTCCAGTATGTGTTGGCAGTGGGTAGCTCTGTCTTCTGTGCCATGTTTTACGGGGATCTTGCAGAGGAGGAGTCCGAAATCCATATCCCAGACGTGGAACCTGCTGCTTTTCTAATTCTGCTGAAGTAAGCCACTCACTCCTCATATTAAACCAGTATTATACACAATGTCACTTCAAAATAAATGATTACTCATCCAAAGTAAGACGAGTTAAGTGCCAAAATGCTAGAGCACCAAAGGACATGGGGAGTAGTGTAGAGCACTGTAATTGCTGGTTTCTTTGCTCTTTGTTAATCTTGAAGATAAAAAAATATTCAAAGCCAATGATTTACCCGAAGGTAATACAAATGGCTCTTTTGTTGTTGATTTTATAACAATGTCATCCGAAACCAATGCAATGAAACATTGCTTCTTTTTTAATCCCCTTGAGAGAATAGGGCAAGCTCTGCCAAGTTCTCTTCCTCTTTTCCTCGAAAGAATAGCCATCATGAATTCTCCACATGCTGTCTGCCTTCTTTACTAAACCAGAATCTCATTCTCCTCCTCCTCCATTTTGTTCCCTTCAGGTACATGTACAGTGATGCGATAGACCTGGAGGCAGACACCGTGCTGGCTACCCTGTACGCTGCCAAGAAGTACATTGTACCAGCCCTAGCCAAGGCCTGCGTCACCTTCCTGGAGACCAGCCTGGAGGCCAAGAACGCCTGTGTGCTGCTGTCCCAGAGCCGTCTGTTTGAGGAGCCTGAGCTGACACAGCGCTGTTGGGAGGTGATTGACGCCCAGGCCGAGCTGGCCCTGGGCTCCGAGGGCTTCTGTGAGATCGACTTGCAGACCCTGAAGATCATCCTGCAGAGAGAGACCCTCAACACCAAGGAGGTGGTGGTCTTTGATGCCGTCATGAGCTGGGCCACAGCTGAGTGTAAGAGGCAAGGACTGAGGGCAACCACCCACAACAAGAGATCTGTCCTGGGCAAGGCACTCTACCTGGTGCGCATCCCCACTATGACCCTGGAGGAGTTTGCTGATGGGGCGGCCCAGGCAGACATCTTGACACTGGAGGAGACGCATGACATTTTCCTGTGGTACACAGCGGCCACCAAGCCCAAACTGGACTTCCCACTGGCACAGAGGCAGGGCCTGGCGCCCCAGAGGTGCCACCGCTTCCAGTCGTCAGCCTACCGGAGCAACCAGTGGCGCTACAGGGGCCGCTGTGACAGCATCCAGTTTGCAGTGGACAAGCGGATCTTTATCGCTGGACTGGGTCTGTACGGGTCAAGTGGCGGAAAAGCCGAGTACAGTGTCAAGATTGAACTGAAGCGGCAAGGGGTGACCCTAGCACAGAACCTGACCAAGTTTGTGTCGGATGGATCAAGCAGTACATTTTCCGTGTGGTTTGAACACCCAGTTCAGGTGGAGCAGGATGCCTTTTATACAGTGAGTGTCGTGCTGGACGGGAATGAGCTGAGCTATTTCGGCCAGGAGGGCATGACGGAGGTGCAGTGTGGGAAAGTGACTTTTCAGTTCCAGTGCTCCTCGGACAGTACCAATGGGACTGGGGTGCAGGGGGGACAGATCCCTGAGCTGGTGTTCTATGCTTAAGCTGGACTGGTTTGGTCATAAAGGAGAGGTAAAGAACATATAGACCATACTGTACATCCATATGTTCCAGCCTTATAAATAATGTAGCATTAAGACACTAGAGTATGTCCCACTAAACAAAATACTATTTTTAAGCGAAGGAACGTTGTTTTATCTTATTTATTTTAAAAACTGTTATTTGTATTATTTTAATTAACGCTGCAAAAAGCAGCCCCTTGTAAAAAGTAATATTGCACTTGTGGACAGCCTCTGCAATGTTGTTTTGTACATAAAATACAGTTAAATGGTTTGCAGCTTGATGCTGATCAACCCTGACATTCATGTTTGAGAGCTTATGAACCTGCAGAAAATCATAAAATTGTGTGAGATAAGCCACTGATGTTGCTGCTCATCATTATACAACTCACCTGCATGTGTGAAATCTGTTGTTTTGGTGGCACTTACTCAAGGGATTATTCAGTGTCTAGGTACACTGAGGGGTGCTACAACCAAGCTGGTAAAAGTGATGTGGTCAAGACTTCATCATCACACCTTCGCTTCCAAAAATGTATTTGAGCGAAGTGACCAATTTTTGCTCTGAATGAATGAGTGGTAAATACTGTGTCCTTCTCAGCAAAAAAACAACACTTCAACCAACAGCATTTGTCAGAAAAGACTCATTCAACTGTATAGTTCTTTGTTTACAATAAGAACACAGGGAGTATGGGAGGCAGATGATAGGTACCTATGGCGGGGGCGTTGATGCAGAGCTCTCTGGCCAGGATCAGAAAGGTTCTACCCAGGACATAAACATTTACCTGTGGGGGAAAGACAGGGAAAATAGATTTAAGACCAGAAATACAGGAGGGTAGTGCAACTGTCACTGAAACCCACCCTGCCAAGTCCTCAATGTCCTCGTAAGGATACATGATCCAGAGTTACGTAACATTTGAGTAGCTTGTGATCGAATCTGGTCTAGTAAGTGTAACTTAATGCTTAGCTGGCATACTATCTAGAAAGCCCAGTGATTTTCCAGACCAGGGGATGACTAAAGCTCTAGTTTCTAGCCCATGGTCTCAGAGCAGCTCTGTCTCATTCCTCCAGGCTAATGCTCCAGACCTTAGGGGGTTTTGGGTCTCTACCAGACACAGACGAGTTTTCACTCTTGGGTCCATGGCAGCAACAGTCTGATCTATTTTAGGAGACGGGTCCCTATTCAACATTTTTACACACAACAAAGAATGCATTGTTAGCCAAGCACCATAGCAACCAACAGTGGAGGTGGCACATGTCAATCCAGACAGAACCTGGAGAAGCCTCCACCTGGACCCTGTCCATGTCATAGTGTCCCCAGGGATTAGAGAGAGCACAGGCCTTGGATGATGGGAGGGGGGGTCACAATGCCTTCCCATGGGAGACGGGGGAAGTGACCACTGCATTGGCCTGGGTGAGCCTCCACAAATGGGGGATTAGTGGAATATCTACCCATAGCACACTGATCCTAGACTGGACAGGCACCCCCATTCCACTCCTACGCTTCAAATACTAGAGGGGTGGGGGTCAGCTCTTCAAGGACAGCTGGGAGCATACAAATAAAACTGACCAGCGGTGTCTCTGAGAAATGTCCCTCTACCCTAACACTGACTTTATATGCATAAAAGATTGACCTATATTTATACAGTCCCTGGCTTTAATTACGAAGTACAACATACTGCACGGGCCAACATCCATCTTGTTGGATGTAATACTCATGGTCAATGTGGGCATGGGATCATGTATAGTTTTACAACAAAAATAAGAAAGGAAACAACTGATGTATGCGACTGTTCAATCATATTCAGAAGAGCTTTCATTTCTAGAAATTAGGGATAAATGTAAATGTCGAAGTGCAAAAACTCAATCACAGAGTTGAAAAAATGACAGTGTAGGCCTACTCATTGGAAACTCACCTGCAGGAGGTCGCTGAGGTCAAGCAGCATGTCTGTGAATGGGGTGGCTTAAGTCAATAAAACCACAAGATAGTAAAAAGTGTCACCTCAGGCCAGCAGCATTTGTAAATATATTTAGTGATAGCTTCAGCCACCCCGTGACCTCTGAACTCCCCCCTGCCTCACCCGTTAGCCTCTGGACACGCCAGTCTCCTGCGACTAACACAACCCCTGCATCAGTCTCCGTGGCGACAGGTGCACCCATCCAAGGGCAACCAAAGTACATTAGCGACAACCCTTTTTTTTAAAGCCTCACAATGGGGTTATGGTCACCACTGAAATTGAAGAAATTATCCCACAGTCTGGAGATGAGATTACGGACTACTCCCTCAATCAGAGTCATCATAATAACAATAAATTCCTCTGTGCAGCTGATTTTCTCAAGAGATAATAACGGTCGCTAAAAGCAATGCCATTTCAGTAGTATGGGGAAGGAGGGAGAGAGCTTCCTTCCAAGCCCTGCCTGTGAAACTTGGAGGTTTCATTATGATGTGACAACTTGGCTGTCATTCATCAAGATCATGGACGTGACCATAGCCTAAACCTTTACCAACAACAGCACCTGTGGGAACGATCCCATTAAATGTATTAATTAACTGCCATTTAATTGATGGTCCCGAGCCTCCATCACAAATATCAAGACATCCCTCCACTGAGCTACATACTATTTCAGCTGTTAGACACGCTGAACAAGGTTTGCCTCTTGCTTCCTCATTCTCAACTTTCCATGCTGGTCCTCTGTGATAGTACTACAGACTTCATTTTCCCCAGCTGTGGAAAAGGAAGTGGAGTGGAGCTATTTTTACTTTATCCAACACTCCTACCCCAAACACTGACACACGTAAACAATGTAATGGGAAAGGCTTTGCTCTGCACTGACACACGTAAACAATGTAATGGGAAAGGCTTTGCTCTGCTCCCTCCACCCTCTTGTTCTATCAGATAAAACACTGTGTATCTTGCCCTTGCTGTGAAACCACATCATACTCCGAGGCAATGACAGGGAACAATAAACCAAACAATGGCAGCAAAATGATGGGCTATGAAAAGTGGATCTGCTTAACATTAGGACAGTACAGAAAGGGTATTGAGCACAACACAACCAGGGCATTAACACAATTCATGCCCAAAACTACTACAACTCATGGAGATTGATGCTACAGCTAACGTTACAAATATAACAAGTGTTTGGTTGTAGTATAAACATTTGGCATTCTCCATTCCCTTTTCACTCACTCATCTCCTTCATTCCTCTGTTACTCCCCCACCTCCCCTCTCTGCGGTGTGAAAAGATACGAGGTGTCCCCTCTGTCCTGCAGACCAGGTAGAGGCATGCAGCCACCACGTGGGCCACCCTTCGGCCCCTTGTCAGGTGTTTACACACGGCCATCTTGTAGAAGTTGAAGGCCGTGTCCAGGCAGTGCTGGTTCAGCTGCAGCTGGTGGCCCAGAGTGTTGATCTGACGTCTCCCTGGAGACACACAAACACAGGCATGTCATTACACAGCCCACGCATGCATGTTGTATTCGTACACACCTACACTCAGACGCACCCTCGTGCACTTAGGGCATAAAATAAACAGAGTAGACAGACACAAATATACACACAAATGACAGGGCATGTAATTACTCTAACAGAGGTTCAGTTCAGGTGTTTCCAGATCCATGTGTCCTCTGTTCACCTGATAAATTTTGCATGCAAACACTCAGACATTATACACAAGCAGATGTCCCAGTCAATACACACAGGTACTTGTGAGATGCGTGTGGGAAACTACTGCTGCTGTTGAGGTTATGCAACATCTTACTGCGCTAAAATATTCCCCCTGCTTTGCTGAACAGATGTCTTCAGATTACAGGGCATCCGCACACCACCAACATTACTCATACCACTCCCTCCTCATTCCCCTCTCCTCATCATGTTGTCTGAAAAACTAAAGACCCCGATTTCTATACAGGCCTTGTCTAAACTTCTTCCGAACCCCAACCAGCATTACCATCCGGTACATTTATTGTGACAGCTGGATAAAATCTAACCACCCTACCAGGGAGAAGTTGGAAAGCTCCCACACTGGAGATATAGCGCGGCAGTATGGGTCAACCGCAGGACATATGGGATGTTTCCAGTAATAGGAAAAGCAACATGTTAGTCATTGTGAGGAGACGTGATGAGTTAGGGCGGGGTTGGGGACGGGTGGTGGGGAGGGATGATTCCAGGCATTAATCAGAGTGTGGGTGGGAGAGAAAGAACAGAGACACTGGATGTTTATGGAGGAGAGCGTTCCCTCACAGCACCGCTCTTGTTCTCTCAGAGCCCCATAGACACTATAAATCTCCCCACAGACAATCCACACAGCATGACAGACCTATTCACATACTAACACACGGCTGTATCCACATCTCTCTGTTCCTCTCACACACAGTCATCGGAATTCGCCACAAAGTCTGACAAACGTCTGTCTCCCCCCTCCACACAAGGACAGCTGTGTTTACAAGTCTCTCTCGCTCTCTAGTTTTTACTGCGCTTAACAGTATTGATCATCAGCATCAGCACTTAACAGCATTGATCATCAGCAGGAGGCGCCTCAGACGACTACAGGTCACCAGGTTACTGGGAGATAACTGAGTACAATACTTTTTACTCAGCCAAAAAATTTAACTTCCAAATAGGCATGACTAAACAAAGACCACAGGAAATCATCAAACCAGGCAGCACAGACTGATTCAATGTGTCTTACCAGACAAAGGAAATTACCAGCCCTTTCCTGATGCATTCAAGTATGCGATGGATGTTTGCCTTTGCCAACCAAGATTTGCTGTAGACACACCCTGTTTACCTCCCATTGGACATAAAGGAAATGGGTTGTCCCTACCAAGTTTGTTGGTGAAGGCAAAACCACTTTATAAGTGCTTTTGAAATAAGGTGCTGATAAGGAAGCCACTTTAAGAGGGGCAAAGGCCCATGTAAAGCAGATGGTATCAATTTAGTCTGTCTAGCATGAGGCAAAATGCTTTATTTTCAAGACACTGAAAGACAGCAAGGCTCATCTCCTAGCACACCTACATTAACTGGGTATTAGGCCTGTTGTAAGTGCAATTAGTTCTCATGATGCATGCACACCCATGCTTTAGGAATGCAAGTGCTGACCCTTAATGTTGACTCACCGTTCTGCAGGGTCTGGGCCCGGGACTCCCTTCCAACGCCTGTATAGAACCCTTCTCCAAAAGTGGGGTTCCTTCCAGAGGCTATAGAAACAGGAGAACGAGAGACACGACACCCCAAGAGTGCAATCTTAACATTTACAAAACAACAGGCATTCATCAACATCTGCTATAGTTTCAATGACAAAAATGGCAATATACATTTTTGTACAGCATTGTTATTATATTATTGGACACAATAGTAGTACATTTGAGTGTTTTTTCAGTGTTGTCTACTCGCATGACAACAAATTGGTCAAAGACAATGAGCTCATCTCAAACTAAAGTTAATACAACACTGCACTCTAGTGGGGATTCAGGGGATGTGCCAGAAAAATCCCACCCCACAACAAAACCAATCTACAATTGACAGTCCCTTCTGCACAATCAGCTGAAAGGCTAGCCAGGGGCTGTGGGCCAGGCCACATCACTGGGTTAGGTTTGGGACTGGAGATTACAGGGTCTGGGCAAGGGTCTGGGAGAGGGTGGGGAATGTTATGCACGCTGCTAAAATGCCATTTTGCAATCCAATTGACTAACTTCATTATGTCATGAAAAACTATGAGTTTCTTATACTCCTTATAACATTTACGTCATTTAGCAGACGCTCTTATCCAGAGCGACTTACCAATTGGTGCATTCACCTTATAGCCAGTGGGATAACCACTTTACAAATTTTTTTTATAACCAACCTCTCAGAATAATGTGGTTAATTTTATTATGTAATGTCTTTATTTCATGTCTTGACAGTCCAGCTGCACCCACCGTCTCCAGCTACGAACTGTCCCACAGCCGAGGAGCCTCCCCCTCCAGTCTCCATGAACTGGACCTCAGACACAATGACGTTGTCCTCCAGGACAGAGCCACAGCCCATGCACACGGCATCACCCCTGGCCTGGTCCACATCGATGTCTGTGCCCCCACAGTTCTTACACACTCTGGAACACATGGTGCGATCTGGTCACACAACACAGCCTAGGGAACAGAGAAGAGACAAGCCACATTTTGGTGAATGAGAAATGCTGTAGACATATGAAACGTTGCATTTATTGGATACATAAAAATGTACTGTATTCTTCCATCCAAAATGTGGTGGCCAAGCAGGCATAACCTACTACCACAACAGTGTCCTACACTCAAACTGCATGACATGATGTCTGAGTGAGTTTGGGAAGAATAACAATTGACTATTACATAAAAAAATGCTGGAGAAGTTAACACTTTCTTAAATCCTCTAACCTGACCCTGGATCAGGGCTTGGGGGATAATTCCACCACTACACCCCTGCTACGTGGCAAAGCCTGGTGTGGTAATCTAGCTAGCTAGCTGTACATTTAGTCATTTTTGTAGGATGCGCTGGTTGGTAGTGGTCCAACATCAATGATCTTGGCATTGCCGTCAATGATTGTTCAGCATGTTTAATGTGGTAGCTTGCTGCTGTATAAACAAACAACCCTGTCTTTAGTCGTAATCCGCAGTGAGGGTTGGAACCTGTCTGACAGCAAGGTTGCTAGACTCCATTACCTAAATTATCTTACCTTAGGTTTTGTTCCTAAAAATATATGATCTGTGTAAGCTAATGGTTTCCATAGTGTGGTGATGAATTGTTGAGAAAATACTGGATAATGAATACGCACAAGCCAATTCCAACAGCAATACAGAGGCGATGCTGACCGCGATGTGACCTAGGATATGGCTAGCAAGTTTCCTGACCAGAATTCCAAGGCAGCGCGTGTCAGCTTCTCATGAGCACTCCCAAGCCTTCTAAATCGATTTAAATGTTTTGTAGTGTCTTGAAGAATGTATCTCACCCAAATGTACTGTTATTTGGGTTCTAAACCACACATTATTTACTGTCATGCCATAACTAGCTACTGATTAACCATGCAAGGCTTGATCAATCTACATCGTTCAGCTAACATGTGCGTTTTCATACTTGGGAAATGGATTGGTCCAAGCTAACTTTCAATGGTGAAAGCATTGATAATTCTCTATCCCTTTATTAGAGAAATGTCATGAGATAATTTAGTTCCTACCTTGTACGTGATATTCAATTATGTTTGTTGACCCAGTATAAAAATTTAAAAAACACTAATTATGCTCAAATCAAAAAAATATATCAGACCTTGCTACCACAAACACCCCGTTTCGCTACACATGATAGCAACCAACACGTCACTGAATACAATGTTCTGACATTTTAAAGAGACAGGACCCTAAATCATTGTCTTGTGACAGGCAGAGCCATAAGTAGGGCTGTCAGGGTTAAGCAGTACACTTTTGGTAATTGTAGTGCACTCCTTTTTTTAAATCGTGATTAATCGCATTGTCTGAAAGCGTTCAAAATATACTGAAAATATCCAAAATACATAATCTATACACTTAAAGCTGCAATGTGTAACTTTTTGGGCAACCGACCAAATTCAACATAGAAATATGAGTTATAGAGCTGTCATTCTCATTGAAAGCAAGTATAAGAAGCGGTAGATATGTTCTATGTGCGCTATTTCTATGCTTCCAGTTCTTTAAAAAAATAACTATGCAATAAAGTACCACAGTATGAGTCATATATTCTTAAATCCCATTCCTTACTTTTTTGTGTGTATTGGGTATATGTTGTGAAATTGTTAGATATTACTGCACTCTCTGAGCTAGAAGTACAAGCATTTCGCTACACCCGCTATAACATCTGCTAAACACGTGTATGTGACAAATAAAATGTGATTTGATTTGATTTGATAATATCATTAAAACCTAAAGGTCAAACAAGGAAATGGTTCCAAAGGGGATTAAATTGTAGACCAGATAGCCAAAAGAGCTTTAAAACAAGATATGATTGATATTAATGTTCCACTGGGTAGAGCTGAGGCCAAATGTAAGATCAGAGCCATTTTGATAGATGTGTGGCAGAAGAGATGGGGATCTGAGCCCACAGGCCGGCATTTATATCAAATAAAATGTTATTTGCCACATGCCCCGAATACAACAGGTGTAGACCTTACAGAGAAATGCTTACTTACAAGCCCTTAACCAACAATACAGTTTAAAGAAAAATAAGTGTTGAATAAAAAATTGATAAGTAAAAAAAATAATAAAAAATAAAAAACAAAAAAACAATAATTCAAGAGCAGCAGTAAAATAACAGTAGCAAGGCTATATACAGGGGGTACCGGTATAGCGTCAATGTGCGGGGGCACAAGTTAGACGAAATAATGTAGATAATATATACATGTGGGTAGAGGTAAAGTGACTATGCATAGATAATAAACAGAGAGTAGCAGCAGCGTAAAAAGCCCTCCAAAGAAAGGTCGGTGGACCAAGATTCAAATGTCAGATTAGGAAGGAAGAGGTGGTGTTTGCTCAATTGCGCCTAGGACTTTGTACATTGAACTGGTAATTACATCTAGTTGGCAAGCATGTGAATGGTTTGTGTCTGGAGTTGTCGATGAAACGGTGGAGCATGTGTTGTTATATTGTTGTAAGTATGTTGAAGAGAGGGAAAGATTGAAGTGCAGGGTCATTGAGGTTGGACGGGGTTGGGGTCTATTAGAAGTTAGTAGGGTTCTTTTTTATTTTCTCAGAAGTACTGAGTTCGGTAGGAGAATTTAGAAATGTGTAGCTAATGATGTAAACCGTGATTGACCACACACTTCAGCACAGTAGGTGGCGGCATGCACCATCAACGTTTGTTTGCAGACCACCATTATATCATAGAAGGAGGAGGAACTGGTTCCAATCGTTTTTCCACCATTCATTTTTTCCCATAGGAGATTTTAGAAACACTTAAAATAAGGGCTGTGTTTCGTGTAGGCTTACCCTGGTGTGACGTTTTGATAACCGTGTAAAACTCTCTAGGACAAGGTGACTTTTAACAAAATATTCACCTGTATTTACCCCCCAAAAATGAAATGCTAATTAGCTGCTAATGTGGCTATCATAAAGAAGTACAAATGCCATGATGATCTGGATGAAACTGCTGAATCAAAGCAAAGGTAAGAATCTCTGGATTAAATAATGTTAGCTAAATTTAGTAATGAATAAATTGGCAACATTTCTTTAAATTGACAAGTCTGTGAACTGTCTTGTGCAAGTTTAAAATTTACACAATACCTGTTAGCAAAGGCGTCAGCTAGAGATGAGGTGCAGGGATTTGTAGTCTTGCATAATGTCTTTGATGCTAATTAGCATTTTCGAATCAGAGTAAATAGAGCCGAATATATTGATAAAAGTCACCTTGTCCGAGAGAAATGTACATGGTTATCAAAACGTCACACCAGGGAAAGCATACATGAGACACAGCCCTTATTTTAAGTGTTTCTAAAATCCCCTATGGGAAAAGTGAATGGTGGAAAAAATGATTTGAACCATTTCCCTGTTTGACCGCTAGGTTTTATGGGTATTATGACACCTTCACTGTGGGGCTCTATGTCAAAGCAAGTTAACACTAAGGTTGAAGAAAGTGTGCTTTAACAATTTACCAGATTTTGCTAACCACTACATTGGACAAAATAAAGACATCAATATTCTTGCATTGCTTTTTGTATAAAACTCTTCAATTATAGCAACATTTGAGCAAATTTGTGATTAATCGCAAATGATTCATCACAGTAAATCCTGCAATTAACTAAATTATATATATTTTTTAAAATGACAGCCGTAATTTAAATACATGGCTCTAGTGACATTGTTGCTTTTCAGTGTCATCATAATCTCATTCCAAAAGGTGGTTAATATGTCTAATATATGGCTCTGACCTTGTAACCTGAAATATAGGACTATCAGGGCTAGATGAGTTGAGTACACTTGCTGTCCCGTGTACTGTTCCACCTTTCCCATGGGCCGATCAAATTGGTGTTTTAGAATGATTACTGACCTTTCATTTACTAATGCACTTTTCATTGTCATGGGTTCTGCGATTTGTAAATACACATTTATGAGAAAATACCATTAAAAACACTTTCATTTATTGAGTTAAAACAATCAAAAAGAGGACATTGACACATACAATTAGAAACTGTAATATAATTACTATTAGGTCAGGAAAAAGGGAGACCATAAAGTGCAGTGGTACTTCATAACTGCTGAATGTATCAATTTTACAATGCCATCTAGTGCAAAACTCCCAATTTCAACTTGAGTTAACACAATGTAGATAACAGAAATAATTTAGTCTAGCCATCGCAAATACTGCTGCATCATGCAGCAACATTTGTTTGGTACGTGAAGCATAATAAAAGTTGGATATAAGCCAACAAAACTGAAAAGTAAGAAAGTGTTGCATTACACTTCATATTCTACCCTTATATTAATGGGCTAGTTTGTTGGGGTTGTGCATGTGCAATTCATTTATAAGCAAAGCCAGCCAACATGAGAACTAAATGTTTAAGTCCTCTTGTAGTGTAAGAAAATGTTTTTGATACAAGTGTTACAAAAACTAAATACTTTAGCAGTACAAAGTACATAAACAGCATTTTGTGTTAAAATATGAATATTTAACAAAATAGTTTATACAAAAATCCAATGCATGGGATTACATTTAAAGCATTTCATAAACTGTGTGTATACATACATGTATATTTCACTAATCAGTGAATAATCTGACAGCACCGAAAGCAGAGTATAGACAGAATGTACAAAGAAACTTCACTTGAACTGTGTCACAGACCCTACATAATGCTTTTAAGGTCATTTGTCACATGAATGGTGGTGAAGGGAAAGGGTTATGCCAAGTGTTTTATGTCTATGATTGCATTACATAGGTGGCAGCATTAGATGGGTTATTGGCCAAATAGTTCAAGTGAAGTGTGACTAAAATGCACTGTCAGCATTTAGAGATAATGTGAGACTTAAGGGTAAGAAGGAAAACACTTGGTCTGTGCCATCTCTCACTCTCTAGTCATCTTAGCAATCAGTCACTGGTCCCGAGCTTCATACAGCAGTTTGGCACCCTGTCAGGGAACAGAGATGTAGTACAGGCAGAACTATACAAAATAACTATTCAGCCATTTACACACAGTACGCAATGGCAGGTCTGAAGCTTGGATATCACAACATACAGTGGGGGAAAAAAGTATTTAGTCAGCCACCAATTGTGCAAGTTCTCCCACTTAAAAAGATGAGAGATGCCTGTAATTTTCATCATAGGTACACGTCAACTATGACAGACAAATGGAGAATTTTTTTCTCTCCAGAAAATCACATTGTAGGATTTTTAATGAATTTATTTGCAAATTATGGTGGAAAATAAGTATTTGGTCACCTACAAACAAGCAAGATTTCTGGCTCTCACAGACCTGTAACTTCTTCTTTAAGATGCTCCTCTGTCCTCCACTCATTACCTGTATTAATGGCACCTGTTTGAACTTGTTATCAGTATAAAAGACACCTGTCCACAACCTCAAACAGTCACACTCCAAACTCCACTATGGCCAAGACCAAAGAGCTGTCAAAGGACACCAGCAACAAAATTGTAGACCTGCACCAGGCTGGGAAGACTGAATATGCAATAGGTAAGCAGCTTGGTTTGAAGAAATCAACTGTGGGAGCAATTATTAGGAAATGGAAGACATACAAGACCACTGATAATCTCCCTCGATCTGGGGCTCCACGCAAGATCTCACCCCGTGGGGTCAAAATGATCACAAGAATGGTGAGCAAAAATCCCAGAACCACACGGGGGGACCTAGTGAATGACCTGCAGAGAGCTGGGACCAAAGTAACAAAGCCTACCATCAGTAACACACTACGCCGCCAGGGACTCAAATCCTGCAGTGCCAGACGTGTCCCCCTGCTTAAGCCAGTAAATGTCCAGGCCCGTCTGAAGTTTGCTAGAGTGCATTTGGATGATCCAGAAGAGGATTGGGAGAATGTCATATGGTCAGATGAAACCAAAATATAACATTTTGGTAAAAACTCAACTCGTCGTGTTTGGAGGACAAAGAATGCTGAGTTGCATCTAAAGAACACCATACCTACTGTGAAGCATGGGGGTGGAAAAATCATGCTTTGGGGCCGTTTTTCTGCAAAGGGACCAGGACGACTGATCCGTGTAAAGGAAAGAATGGGGCCATGTATCGTGAGATTTTAAGTGAAAACCTCCTTCCATCAGCAAGGGCATTAAAGATTAAACGTGGCTGGGTCTTTCAGCATGACAATGATCCCAAACACACCGCCCGGGCAACAAAGGAGTGGCTTCGTAAGAAGCATTTCAAGGTCCTGGAGTGGCCTAGCCAGTCTCCAGATCTCAACCCCATAGAAAATCTTTGGAGGGAGTTGAAAGTCCGTGTTGCCCAGCGACAGCCCCAAAACATCACTGCTCTAGAGGAGATCTGCATGGAGGAATGGGCCAAAATACCAGCAACAGTGTGTGAAAACCTTGTGAAGACTTACAGAAAACGTTTGACCTGTGTCATTGCCAACAAAGGGTATATAACAAAGTATTGAGAAACTTTTGTTATTGACCAAATACTTATTTTCCACCATAATTTGCAAATAAATTCATTAAAAATCCTACAATGTGATTTTCTGGATTTTTTTTTCTCATTTTGTCTGTCATAGTTGACGTGTACCTATGATAAATTACAGGCCTCTCATCTTTTTAAGTGGGAGAACTTGCACAATTGGTGGCTGACTAAATACTTTTTTCCCCCACTGTACATTTCAGTAGTATCTTTAAGTCAAATATAGCATTCATATTAAAAACACAAGCCAGCCTGTTATCGTGGTGTACCTTGTGCATGGCAGCAAGCCATGAGGAGGCGGTTTTCTTGTCCTCTGCTGCCTTCATGCGTAGCTGCTGGGGGTCCTGAGAGCCCATTGGTTTGTAGTGGAGCAACATGCCACTGGCCCTGCAGTTTCCCCCTGGACACAAAACACAAAGTTAATCAAGGTTTAGTAACACACTCACTATCCTTGTATGGACTCTAAAGGCTTTAGCTCAGACTTTGAAACAAAAACTGCTACCTGGTGTTCAAAGTAATGAACTTTGCGAGAAACGTACATAATAACAAACAACGAAATGATAAAGAAATCTAGCTATAGACTTAAGAAAATGAGAACATACAGTGTACAAAACATTAGAAACACCTGCTCTTTCCATGACAGACTGACCTGGTGAAAGCTATGATCCCTTGATGTCACTTGTTAAATTCACTTCAAATCAGTGTAGATGAAGGGGAGGAGACAGTTAAAGCCTTGAGACATGGATTATGTTTGTGTGCCATTCAGAGGGTGAATGGGCAAGACAAAATATTTAAGTGCCTTTGAACGGGGTATGGTAGTAGGTGCCATGCGCAACGGTTTGAGTCTGTCAAGAACGGCAACGCTGCTGGGTTTTTCATGCTCAACAGTTTCCTGTGTGTATCAAGAACGGTCCACCACCCAAAGGACATCCAGCCAACTTGACACAACTGTGGGAAGCATTGGAGTCAACATGGGCCAGCATCCCTGTGGAATGCTTGACACCTTGTAGAGTCCATGCCCAACGAATTGAGGCTGTTCTGAGGGCAAAATGGAGTGCAACTCAATATTAGGAAGGTGTTCCTAATGTTTTGTACACTCAATGTACATTTGCTATGGTGTGCCCTAATGAACATGATCCTGGTCACAGGCAAAGAGGGGCAATGAGACGCACTCTGGGTGTATAATCAGACACAACACGCCCCCCCCCCCCCCCCCCCATGGAAGCATGCATACGACAAGGATTTTAAGGATGTTGCCTTTGTTCTACCACTGATATCAAATGCATGTACAATGATGGCAAAGGCATTCTTATCAAAAGCAGGGCCACAAACTCTGCAGGCAGATGAAGTTAAGATGGGACGGAATAAGGGAGAGTGGGGGACGAGGGAGTATAACACTGCTAACCTTCAGATATATACTGACTGTCCAGCAGACTGGTGTAAGTGTAAACATCATTCTCTAAGGCCAAAAGGAGAAGGGCCAGGCCGCCCAGAGGCAGAGAGAGGGAGAGAGTGTTAATATTATAGCAGAGAGGAAACAGTCAGGTATGACCACCAACTTACTGTACTTACCATGCTGTTAGATCAGTTATGGGGTTTCAAATCAATACAATGAAGAGACAGTCATCAGAATTTTACTGTGGATTTAAAATAACACTTCCGGTCATAAAGAGGAGATAGAGCTAGTTCCTCCACCCACAGGAAGCCATAATGTACACTACTGTTCAAAAGTGTGGGGTCACTTAGAAATGTCTTTGATTTCGAAAAGAAAAACTTTTTTTTTGTCCATTAAAATAACATCAAAATGATCAGAAATACAGTGTAGACATTGTTAATGTTGTAAATGGGTATTGTAGCTGGAAATGGCTGATTTTTAATGGAATATCTACATAGGCGTACAGAGGCCCATTATCAGCAAACATCAGTCCTGTGTTCCAATGGCACGTTGTGTTTGCTAATCCAAGTTTATCATTTTGCTCTTCTTTTGAAAACAAGGACATTTCTAAGTGACCCCAAACTTTTGAACAGTAGTGTATCTTGATCAATAAGCTGTACTGTCGTACTGCCCTCTGTACTGAGGGAGATAAAGCCAGGCTGTGTTAACAACCAGAGGACATCTGATCCAGATCCTTACCTTCAGGGGTGGACTCCTCTGTCAACACCTGCATACTGGAGATCCAAGACAGCTCCACCTCAAAATGGCTCTCACCATCTAAGAAGAGATACCTGAGGAGAGAGGGAGAAATAAGAGCAAGTGAAGGGGTGTGAGACAAAGTGATGTACTGAAAGTCTTTCAGGTGAAACATTTGAATTTTTCTAGTGGTTCTATCAAAGCCCAGGGACATGTCCGTTCAGTATTAACCTAAAGAACTCCATTCTAGATACTTTCCCTGTGTGTCTGTGTGAAATATAAAACACTCACGATACCTGTGGTTGTTGGAGAGACGACACATCATGGTCTCAGACTTCTCTGAGGTGCCCAAAGTGACAATAAATGTACCACCTGAGTATGACAAAGTAGTAGTGTTACCAATGAGTCAAACCAATGAGCATGCAATCAAAAATCCATCAAACTGTAGATACCTCCCAGTCCACTGGTGTTATACTAAGAATACAGCATTGATTGACCATGCTAACTGGCTAACATGACCCCATTAGTCCAACATGCTCCAGGTCCCCGTCCCCACAGTATGTCCCTGCCACTGCAGCCGGCCCTTGCCCTGGATCTCGCCATGCTGCTAATGGATTTTTCATTATGAGCCTGGCTGAGCGAAGCAGTGTGGAGGGGCCTATTTATAACCACACTGGTCTGCACCAACACTTCACTAGTCAGGAGGGGGTAGCGCGGGGCAGGACAGCATCACATCAGGCCTAGCCCTGCTCACTAACCGCCCTATACACACAGCTGTTAACATGGACAGGTCTGTGTGTTTGGATGTCCTCCTGACATGATTTATTATTTCCTTTGAACTCACCTCCCATAAGCACTTTGAGCTGTTTGTCATAGAAATCCATTTCCTTCTGGGAGACCCGGCTGCACGCTCCACACTGCCGGACCGGGTCGACAAAGCACATCCGTGGCAGAGCCACCTTCTTACTGCAGCACTTATCACAGAAACACCGGCCACACCGCCGGCAGTGGTGCTGAACACCAACAGAACAGGGGAGGGAGTGATGAGGGTAAAGGAGGAAAGCACAGTTCCATCCATTGCAGAGATCTTAACTGTGCAAAAGCATGTAAGGGCTACAGAAAATTTTTTGGTCCACAGTCAGGTAAGGCCTAGCCCTATAACTTGGAATGTTTCTGATATATTATGGGATCATAGTAAAGCAAGTCAAACCTTTCTTGTAAGGAAGTCAAATTTTTTGTTGCACTGCATACAGCTTGGGCACTGTAAGAGGAACAGGACATTAGCCAACAGTTCGTTGGTTCACTCAAGTTCAAACGTGGACACAACAACCTCTGAAACACAGTTTAAATGGATTACCGAAAGACCTCTCTCTTCTAATAACACGATCATCACAACCCTCACAGTAACATAACCCCAGACTGTAAGGTAACACTGACTGTTTTAAAGTAACTGTCCAGTGAAAATCACACTTTTAAAAGTTAATATTCTTTTAACTCATACCCAAATAATGTTGTTGACTCAGCCTATACTCGTATGTGGCCAAATCACAAATTGGAGAGAAAAAAATAAATAAAAAATATGTATTGCGATTCGATGTTCCAAACATATTGCTCACCATATGTCTGCTGCAGAGGGACAAGAGAGGGCCATGAGAAAACGAGTTTTGATCAGTCATGGAAATAGGTGCTGAAAACGAATTGTCTCCCTATTTAAAAAGATGGAGAACAAGCTATTAAGGAAAAATACTGGAGTTTTGGTGCAGGTACAGCCAACTAGCGCAAAAATTAGATTATATTGAAAATGATACGATGTATTGTAAAAAATAATCCTGATTTGTAACTATCGATTTTTCCCCCCATGACTTGCCTAGTTAAAAAAATATATAAAAAATAAAAAAGTTAATTACAATTTTTTGGAAGGAAAAAACTCCAATTGTAATTCATTATCGGTCATATTTCATAGAAATCTGGAAACACTGGATAGTTACTTTAATACCACCACTTTAAGAAGCTGTGACCATTTAAACACATAGGTGGAGGCAGTGAGGCGTGAAGCTGCTGGGAAGGATTACTGTAAAGTCCATCACACAACCATGTCCCATGCCCATCCCCCACATTCATTTACGCACACCCTCCATTGTTCCCTTTCTTTTACATTCTCTTACAGTCCAGTGCTTCCCTGCCCCCCTCCACCTGACACAAGGGCAGCATCACTGACAGCAACAGTGTTTTCCAATGTGGACCCATGATCATGGACCACTCGCATGTGTACATCTCGCAGAGAAGGCGAGAAAATAAGGTTTTAAACTAACTTGCCATCATATGAACAGCAATCACTTGCCGAGGCAGGTGGCAGCTTTTGTTCTGTATTTTGGTAGAGCCTGTTAGAGTTGCAAAATACTGTAGCTAACGTTAGCTAGCTACTGTAACGTTAGTGATGGCTCCCTGTTGTCTACTTTAGAACGTTAACTACTAGCTAGCTAGCTACTAGCAAGCTAACTACCGGCAGTTCTTGGCATTTACAGCTAGCAAACTGCAGAGCATTGTTAAAACGAAACCAAAATACGAAAAATGATATAGCTAGCTATCAACCATTTGGCATGCAATCAATCAAGTGAGAAGTAACGCGTTAGTTGGCTCTTACCACAGCCACGAAGTCATAATGATGGCTAAACCCCGCCTATTTCTACAATTTCTCTTCTTAAAATCTGATTTTAACCTAACCCTAACTACACTACTATCCTTATGCCCAAACTAATTTTTGTTTTCATACATCTTTTACAATATACAATTGTGACTGTGGAAACTAGCTAGTGACAACCCTACCAGATAGAACAATGAGTCTGGTCTACTATCTTGGGTTAGCTAGTTATACACATCTTTGACCCTACTGTACCGACAGTGGTCAGCAGCAGCAAGAATGCAACGCCAAGTCCGGTTGTCTGAGCGGCGTTGCCCTCTTTATTTCCTCTCCAATAGTCACTTACCTCTTTGTCTGGGACCCACTGAGGTTCACCTAACGAAAAAGGGCTGTTAAACGCTCCATTCTCCGGGACCATTCGAAGTCCACTTGGGCTTCGGACCAATTTCTTGCCATCAGGCACTGAAGACATTTTTCCACAACCAGCAATTCTTTATAATTTTTCCACCCATACTCCAAAAACACGCCTATTTAATTGATTGACATAGCAGTCATCCAATAGAAATGCGTGATGTCACGTGATGAACTGGACTAAACGCAAAGTGATGTTTTGGTTATATGACCCCATCCATTGGCTGTGCCAGTTATTTATTTTGCTCATTAAACAATATATTTTGCATAGAAAACCCTACAGGCTATTTTGATTATATGACATACAATCAATAAATAAAAAGCCATTTACGGTTTCTATGCCTTTAGTTTTCCATGTGGGCCAATTTATTGGTGATTTTTGAAAAACTATGCAAGGATTGTTCCATAGGGGTTTGTTTTTTGGGAGTGATATAGGTTCTTGTAGAATCCGTTTCATTTTCTTCCGTTTGTTATAGTGTTCTAACTATGAATGTGTTAATGTTCTTAGCTCCATCCTTTGAAAACAGACACGTGATGAATCTACATCTTGTTTTTTTAGCATATTGTATTATACTGGAACATCTTGTATTTGTTTGTAAGAGTCTATTTTCAATAAACCCTGTTTGATTCATATGTATCAAGTCTGGTAAGACCTTTGCCATTCTGTTGCTTATGAGTTTTGTTCTTATTTGTCACAATTTATTAAATGTATGAGTCTGTAATCTGCAGGGGACTCTCCAGATTTTCCTGGTTTTAATAGAACTGAAATAACGGTTTGATACATGGAACTCAGAAGCACTGAATTGAGTGACGTGTGTTGTCATTTGAGTAAATAGGGGCTCTACTTTGTCCCAGAATGTCAAATATAATTATATGGGAAAGCTGTCCATACCTGGTGCTTTTCTCCCGGTGAATGTTTTAACAGTGTCTAATATTTATTTTTGGGTGATTTCCATTTTAGTGATTATTTTTTGTCTGCTGATAATTGGTTCAGGGCTGTTGAGTCTAAGAAGGCTGTAGGATCAGTCCAACTGTTGTTTAATTCTGATTTATATTGATTTTCATAGAGGCTTTTGAAATTGTTATTAATAGCGTTGTTATTTCTAATTAAAGCATTTGTATCCTTATCTTTTAAAATTATAACTAGTTTGGCGTGTATTCGTTTTGTGAGGGCTGCTAGGTGTTTACCAGGTTTATTCGACATTAAATAGTATGCTTTATTTGAGTTTAACCTGTAGTTGTTGGCTCTCTTCAAAAGTAAAAGATCATATTCCTGCTTAAATTCAGAAATTGTATTTTCTTCGTTACCTTGTAAGAATTTGTTATGGGTTTTTTCTAAGATAGAAATTGTAATTAAAGAAAAATAAATCACTAACTCGAATTAAACTTTTGCGGAGTATGAGATTATCATTCCCCTAATGTACGCCTTTAAAGCATCCCAAATTATGTCAGGGTCGGCTTTTTTAGCTACAAGCTTGGCACACCTGTATTTGGGGAGTTTCTCCCATTCTTCTCTGCAGATCCTCTCAAGCTCTGTCAGGTTTGATGGGGAGCGTCACTGCACAGCTATTTTCAGGTCTCTCCAGAGATGTTAGATCGGGTTCAAGTCTGGGCTCTGGCTGGGCCACTCAAAGACATTAAGAGACTTGTCCTGAAGCCACTCCTGCATTGTCTTGGCTGTGTGCTTAGGGTCATTGCCCTGTTGGAAGGTGAACCTTCGCCCAGTCTGAGGTCCTGAGCGCTCTGGAGCAGGTTTTCATCAAGGATCACTCTGTACTTTGCTCCGTTCATCTTTCCCTCGATCCTGACTAGTCTCGCAGTCCCTGCCGCTGAAAAGCATCCCCACAGCATGATGCTGCCACCACCATGCTTCACCGTAGGGATGGTGCCAGGTTTCCTCCAGACGTGAAGCTTGGCATTCAGGCCAAAGAGTTCATTCTTGGTTTCATCAGACGAGAGAATCTTGTTTCTCTGGTGCCTTTTGTCAATCTCCAAGCGGGCTGTCATGTGCCTTTTACTGAGGAGTAGCTTCCGTCTGGCCACTCCACCATAAAGGCCTGATTGGTGGAGTGCTGAAGAGATGGTTGTCCTTCTGGAAGGTTCTCTCATCTTCACAGAGGAACTCTGGAGCTCTGTCAGAGTGACCAGCGGGTTCTTGGTCACCTCCCTGACCAAAGCCTTTCTCCCCCGATTGCTCTAGGAAGAGTCTTGGTGGTTCCAAACTTCTTCCATTTAAGAATAATGGAGGCCACTGTTTTCTTGGGGACCTTCAATGCTGCGGAAATGTTTTGGTACCCTTCCCCAGATCTGTGCCTCGACACAATCCTGTCTCGGAGCTCTACGGACAATTCCTTCGACCTCATTGCTTGGTTTTTGCTCTGATATGCGCTGTCAATGTGGGACCTTATATAGACAGGTGCGTGCCTTTCCAAATTATGTCCAATCAAGTTGTAAAAGCATCAAGGATGATCAACGGAAACAGGATGCACCTGAGCTCAATTTTGAGTCTCATAGCAAAGTGTCTGAATACTTATGTAAGTAAGGCATTTCTGTATTTTTTTAAAATAAATTTGCTAAAATTTATAAAAACCTGTTTTCGCTTTGTCATTATGCGGTATTTTAGAATAAGGCTGTAATGTAACAAAATGTGGAAAAAGTCAAGGGGTCTGAATAGTTTCCGAATGCACTGTAGAACTTGTGAACAAGTAGGCTAAGCAAACATTTAACAGAACACACAAAAAAACAAAGCAAGTACTTCTTTGTACTTTGAGGCACTGTGCCTTTGTAGGGCATTCAAGCTCCAAGTCCTCTCCTAATGTACCAAAAGTCTGTGGGTTATGTCATTATAAATACATCGGAGAAAGACTGCCACTTAAATACTGTGGTCGGCTTATAATACCTTGTGAATTAAATTAAAGTATAGTGGCTGGTGGGGCTCTACTTGAGGAGCGTGGGTCCACCGAAAGACCGAAGTGAGATGAGTGGAGGCACCACACTTACTTCAGGGAAGCGTCTGATGCCCTCCCAGCCACCTCATCCCAAACCCTCCACCTGCTTTTCAAGACTCATTCAAGATTTTGGATTCCCTAAAACAAGATCCGTTTTGAAAAGTGTATGATGGATTACATATACAGAATTTCAGTCATTGATTTAATGAAAATCCAGTAGGGGGCGCTGAGAGAATGATACTTATCCTGTGTGTATCAACCCTGCCATGCTCTGCTCCGTGATCATGCTCATTTATCAGACCAAGCAATGATAGAGGGACTAAGAAAAACATGTGTATAATTTTATTCATACAATTTATACCATACAATATATTTTTGCAGGACAAACACTTCAAACACCACAGTTCAGGCTAAAGGGATCCAGCCAGCACAGCAGGCATCCTAAGGGAGAGGAGCTGGAAGTTTGGGTAGTTACCAATTGTGGGATCCTATTGCCAGTCTAGCCTGGGACATCCCCAAACAGACACACACTCCAGCCCAACCCCAAACAAAAAAAAGTGCACTTGGACAGTAGAGAGGCTGGTGCATTGACTGTGTCACACTAACAATAGGGTGATGTCATCATGAAGATTTCCCAGCAGTGTTTCACTAGTTCAGGGCGTGTTGTCCTTCTCCATAAGATTCTGTGCACCACCTCAAGTGACTCAGAAGCTGCGTTTACACTGGCAGCCCAATTCTGATATTTGTTTTACTTATTGGTCTTTTGACCAATCAGATCAGCCCAGAAAAATATCTGCTGTGAAAAGATCTGATGTGATTGGCCAAAAGACCAATTTGTGGAAAAAAGGTCAGAATTAGGCTGCCTGCTTAAATGCAGCAATTCTATCACTGCTCATAGGATTACTTGTTTCAAATCATTAACCACACCTGTCTTTGAGCTTAAGAATAGGATTTATACATTTACTTCTTCACCATAATCACTTAGAAAGTGAACTGTTCTGACAGCAAGCAAAATACTAAAGACTTAAAAAAACAGAATTACCAGCCAGGCATTTGAGAGGGATTTCCATGACCTAACAAGAATATGGTCATAACCAAAGGGGCAGGGGATGATGACATTTCAGAAATGGGATCCTATTTTTTCTCAAAACAGTATACTTGAATGCCTCTGATATAAAATCATACATATTATGCTCAATAATTCAATGTCTAGCTATCTGAATTTGTGATTTTGTAAATAAATTGGACACTGTGGCAGCTTTCCAGTAACTCAGAGTGAACATAGAATGATGATTAACAGACAAACTGATCAACAGTGAAATGAGGGCTTCCAACACACATTATAAGCTTACAAGTGTGTGCTTATATCAAGTTCTTTGCACTTGTATAGTAGTATGATCTAATCTGTACATAACAAGGTAAGGCTAAAAGCTTGCAAAAGTTAATGAAATGCTTCATTGTGTGTTATATATTTGTAAAGGGAAGCAAAAAGTTAGGTTTTTCTAATGACCAACTGCATTCTGCATATAAAAGCCTATTCCGTTATTGCATGAGACACTAAAACCTTTTTAGCAAACAAACTGCAATAAACAGTAAACTATACCACAGACCTCTGCTTGAAATTCTAAAACAATTTCTGGTTTTCACTGAGCAAATTACTCACTACTCCATTGTTCACTCTGCTCATGACAACTTGCTTGTTTATCATAAAAATAGGTCCTGTTCCTTGGACAGTATAACCGGTCTTGTCAATTTAACCCTAATTAGTGATGTTTCACCCCTCATATTAAGTCATCCTGGTGATGGACTAGGAGAGTCCCTGGTCCTATGCTGTCTGAAGTCAAATGTAACAGTCACCTTCCTTACATAAGAGAACGTTATCACACATCCCCATCAACAGCCCACATTAACAGTCCACCCAACAAGCAACCCAAACCAGTGTCAGGGGTCAGTAGGATCATGTCTGTGGACCTAAAAAAAGGCACACTCCAGAAACGAGCAACCGTTAACTAGAAAGTTTTGAGAACACCACATTTACATCGTTTCACTTTGGTGACAGCAAGTCCTATAATAGAGCAATAAAAACATGTAACTTTTTGTTGGATATTTAATCTAATGAAGTCCAAGTCCTTCAGCTTAATTTCACTCTTTATACATAGTCTTACTCTATCCATCATTCAACATACAGAAACAGATTGGTACAAATTGGTAAACAATGTTTTTACTCTAGATTGTAACAATATTTTTCTGCTATTACTGGAAATTGCATTTGATTTTAACAGGTTCTTGTGTTAAATATCTAGTGCAGTCAGTGTATATCAAAACTAGCCTCTCTAGCCATCTTCTGTTCTGTGACAATCCTGAGAAATCGACCACATATACTTAATGTGCCAACTGAACGATCCTGCCTCATAACTTCACATACATTTGAGCAGTCTCTTCAATTGCAGTAACATCATGAAACTATAGAGGCAGAGCTATCAGTTTCAAGACCTCTGATACCAAGAAATAAGATTCCCCAGATCAGCGTAAGAAATAAAATAAACCATAATTTACAGAACCCAAATGTAAACATAAAACTTCATACAACAAGCATAGCTAACACTTCAATAAGAACACACAGGACATCCATTTGGACGTAAAGGGGGTGAGACAGCAGAGTTAAGTCCTCTACTAGGACCTCCTGAACTGCTCACATATTCCAGTCAAGTGAAAACCAAATTATTTAAGTTATTATTTAGATCTGTGGAGGTAAGGTAGGAAAAAGCAACCACACACACAGAAGAAGAAAAAAAGAACATTCTCTCATATGAGCACTCAACCATAAAATATAGGCGCATACTTACTTCCACACACACGCATTTACACTTGATTAGCGTTATACATTTGTCGTTCATTATAACTAATCTCATGTTGCTCAATGATATAAAAAAAAAGAGAAAACGTTTAAATAAAAACACCCTCTAAGCAAACCAGCGACGAGATCAAAGTGCAATGAGATTGTGAAACCTACGTACTGTAGCCATCTGTACAGTGAGCAGATGGACAGTTGTGTATGGTTTAGGAGGGGGTTGTTTGGTTTAACCTGGGTGGAGGGTGTAGCAGTTACAGGAGACTGACCCCATGACCTCTGTCACCTCTCCACTGGAACATTCTGAGTTCCGACCTTCAATGCGCCAGGTCAGTGTGGCTGGCACTCAGGTCCCGACTCATTCTCAGACGATTATTTCGCTCCTAGAGTAGGCAGCAGAGAGGAAATAGGGTTCAAAATAGGTTGTAGAACTAAAGAGAGAAGAAAAACAGTTAATGTACATGGTCCACAGACAAAACATCCTTCACATTTCCATGGAGAAAAGGTCTGTTTTGCTTGAATATGGAATACACACATGAAGGGTTCATGATTGATTGCTGTTGAAGTATTTGGGGGAATGTGGTATACAATATAAATGAGATGCCAATATGCTGAAATCTGGAGCGCTACTGTATTCTGCAGTCACACCCTTATCATATGGTAGGTTGGCAGAACCAATATCCCACCATGTAGAATGGTACCATGGTCCAGTGATGCATATTCTCAAATAAACCCAGTCAGATTTATCTTCGTGAACAATTGATACCAGTCAGTTTATAAAAGGATTAACATTGGAGTCAATTAATGTAGAACGTTGCAAGTAGAATTTTGAATGGTTGCCGTTGATCATCTGGTTGCAGACTACTATACCTGGTTCACCTTCAATCTAATTTCCTCACTACAGCCACATAAATCTACTGTCAAAAGGTGTCATTTCCTATATCTACCGTAAAATTCATTAGTGTGATTTTGTTACTAAGGGGTTATGGATTAGTGAGCACACAATGAGAAACATGTTAGTCATTACATTAGTGACCAGTTTCTGAGATGACTGCACAGGTGGACAGATGAAATATGGAGAGCGAGAGTGAGACAGTTGGGCTCCTTACTTGGTAGAGGTGTCCGGTAGCCTTGTCCACCACGTTTAGAACACCCAGTGAGCTGGCTCGCTTCATGCTGCACCCAGAACAGTGGCATGCAAGGAGGTGTCAGTGAGAGCCGGGTTGAGGGGTCAAGAGTCAGGGGTGAGGAGAGGGACATGTTGCCCATGGAGATGGTATGTGGGTTAATAACAAAAATGAGACTCACTCACGGGTTAGTTTTCCCAGACAATGCCCCCACACAAATACATAGTCATCTCTCTGACCTAAATCATAACATATGGGTTAAAGGTCACACTTAACAAAAGTTAATGAGAGTGTGACAACAAATTGATTAAAAAGGAGTGTTTTGTGCCAAATTCATTTAATTCTGTTGCAAGGGGGGAAATATTGTTTTGTATTGATCGATACAGCGCTCTACTGTCTCCTGGATTAGAGAGGTCATCATAATGGGGTTAAATCATCATTGATAAAGAGTTAGGACTGTTAAAATTATCTGAGTGATAGAAAGACCAGCAGAGAGGAAAATGAGTCAGAAAACAGAATGTCAGCAAACAGATGAGGCATGCAGTTACCATTCACTTGGAAAAGTCTATTAGTCATAAATAAAAACATTAGTCATAAATAGAAACACAGCATAGATTGATGTATTAGAATATTAAAATAAAACCAAATGCCCATGTGGACAAAAATAAGTTATTACAGAAATTCACCAAGAAACACTGATATTTGCACCTTCTTCTGAAAATGTAGCAAAGAAATTGTGAAAACAGTAAGGCAAGAAAATAAATAAAATATGGCTTTCATATGCAGAAAAGCAGACAGCATTTTAACGCAGACAATTAGTAGTAGTGTGGTCATCTAAAGCTCTTAACCATTCTCTATTTAGTCCTGTCTCTAGGCCAGATTGTCCATCACAGCTGATTGAGAGTACTCTGTATACACAGGCCACAGGAAGATGTTTTGCGTTGTGGGTATGTGAGTATTTTTTGCCGCTCATTCAGGAGTGATAATGACCTAGTGCACTAATTTTGTGGAAAAACAATTATTATTATTGATTTTTTAAAGCAGATGTGACATTTTATACAAATTATAAGGACATTAAATAGAGAAGCTCACTGCTGACTGAGGCACTAGGAGTCGGAGTCCTCTGTAGTTTCAGAATCAGCCCGACTTGCTCTGCCTGTTAGCTCAAAGCACTTCTTACACTGGACATATCCACACAGGCAACGTAGTCTGGAATAGTACCCTGTTTCTAGAGAGTGACATTGAGCCAGTGAAAGTCTATACCAGTCACAGTATGTGGCATTCATAGTGTATGCAAGTGAAAATGCACAAGTAACAGGCGCTTGAATGTGTTAGTTAGTGCAACCCCCAGTGGTTCATTAGTTGTGCCAAACAGGACAGAGTTACACCAGAGTTAACCCACAGCAGAGTAGAGATCCCTCTAGTCTTTTCTAGTCAGATCTAGTGACAGTACACCAATCCAGTAGAGGGAGGGGGAGAGGAGGGGCCCCATGTGCATGAAGGGTCGAAGGGTCAAAGGTGAGGGGGATAGTTACCCAGAGTTTTTGGGGTCCCACTCCCGTGAGCTGCTGCCCTTCAGCTTGCGGACCAGTTTCTCACTGCTGCGGCGAATAGAGGCACGGAGTTTACTGAAGGAGCCGCTCCGCTTCAGAGAGCCGGAACCGTCCTGATGAGAGGTCAGATGGTTACTCTCTCTCTCACACACACACACACACACACACACACACACACACACACACACACACACACACACAATCTTGCATACACACCGGTAGAGACAAACATGCATGCACAGTTGCACACCCCCCCACATGCACACATACTCAGTACAGATATGTGAGCGCGCACGCACAATCAAATCAAAATACAGAGAACTGGTTCAGCAAATTCTTCTGTCTGCATATGTGATGACTGTGCATGTGCTTGTTTTTGCATGTGCATCTGATTAGACTCTCTGTTCAGACAAAACATGTCGGCCTCATCAGTGTGCTATTCAGAAGAAATCAGAGAAGCCCTCCAAAAACATCTTATAAGGTTATGCTCACAAAAGTTATCTTGGGTCAACAGAGCAGAGCAATGTAAATTTCTTCTATAATCTAGTTTTAGCCCAAAAACATGAGGCATGTTGCTTTTCATGCTTTATTAATCTATGCGGTTATTCACATAGCTCTGACCCCTAACCTTTGACCTGTCCACTAACACCAACATGGAGGAGAGAAGGAAAAGAAGGAAGGAGGGGTCACATTACCATGGTCCCGGAGTTGATCTCTCCCACCAAGATTTACACACACACACACACACACACACACACCCCGTTTTACACACACACACCGTTTTACACACACACACACACACACACACACACACCATTTTACACACACAGACCCCGCAGAGAGAAAGAGAGGGAGCACACAAAGAGGCTACAGACAAAGATGTTGGTGAGCAAAGAGTTACGTTTTATTGGAAGTTAAGAGATAAGTACGGTAAGAAGCACAGACAGACAGGACAGAGTAGATTAGTAGGAGCCATGAAGAGAAGTGTCCAGATTCCACACTGCAGAGCGAGGCATGTCCCACCCCTCTGTCCCATACCCTCTACGCTCCCCATCCGTCTCTGTATATACAAGAGTATACAAGAGCTGCATTGTCTTCTGACACCCCCTCCTGATCATGACATTACAACACTGTTACGTTTGACATCAATAGGACCATATGGAGCACAGGATCAAACACTACAGCAGCCTACAGCCACCATGGTGCTCTGAGGGAGCATACAGTATGATGATCATGCCACCAACTCATAGTATTTACAGTCTGTTAGTTAGATCACTACGAGCAAAAGCAGTCTGTTATGCATCATCACTTCTAGTAAATGCTGGAAACTCAACACCACACACCATACTGAGAGATAGATAGAACAGATAGAGTGAGGAGACAGAGTATTTAAGTACAGCAAAGAGTAAGATAAGGTAATGGCAGGAGGCAGGAGTGGCTTGGTTTGGTTCTGAGACATAGAGCCCAGCCCCCCTGTCCCCTGGTCCCATTGACAGTGGATAGGAGGATAGAGCTGGGGACAGTTTGGCCCAGTGTGGCCCTGTAGAGTCACCGGACAGACAGCCCAGAGGAGGAGAGAAGGGGACCAGAGTCTGAAGACAGGACACAACTGCAAAGCTGGAGGGGTGGCAGGCGAGCTGGCATCCGTCATGCAGAAGACAAGTACTTAGAAGCACAACATGGCATCTGGAATTATGCCTGCCAGTCAGACAAGGTGAAGAGAGAGATAAAAAAAGAAAGAGAAACAGAGAGAGGTAGACAAATTAAAGGAATACCAAGAGAGGCAGAAGAGGGTATTGAAAACCAGAGATGAAGATGAGGTAGAGTGAGATGGGGAAAGGGAGAGAAAAGGAGGGAGAGAAGGAAACCAGAGCAAGTCAGACAGACAGTAGCGTTTCCCCTACAGAGACAGTATTTATCCAGGTAGGGCTGTGGCAGTGCTTTACAACTGCAGAAGGCATCAGCACCCAACATTAGCAACAGCTAAGGAGCGTTATAGGGCAAAGGAAACTATAAGCAACCAAATAAACAAAACTATAGTTAATGAATATAACAGGCTCAATTCAGTCAATCTAAAAAAACTGTAAAATTAATCCACAAAACAACCAACGTGACTCTAACCCCAAAATAAAATTAAACTACTGCCTGTGTGTTCTAACCCAGTTGGGTTTCTATAATAAACAGTAAATTCCCTGTACAAAGCCATCAGCCATTTTCCACTGCCAAGTCCAGAGGACCTGAGGCTCATCCATGGGTAAATCAAAATCAGGAAAACCTCAAAAAGAAGACAAACAAATGGAAAATAGGACTAAAGTGGGTGAGAAAACACCAAACAAAGCAGAACTGAGGAAGAGTAGAATGGGATAATCTTGGAGAGATACTGTGTCTGGAGAACAGCTAAATCATAGTTGCACACAGTAGTCCAGGTTTAACTGAGAGAGGAAACAACAGGTTAGCCCACCACAGCACAGCATGCACAGACAAGGGGATGCAGACAGTAAATAGACACTCGGAATCAGCTAGAATAATGGGACGGGTTGTACAGGTTGAATGCTGTCCCACCACTCTGGCTGTTAATAATCTGCCACTGGATGCAGAGAAAAAGAAAGCAGGGGTACTGTATCACAATCAGCATACATACAAGTCTGTCCATCCATCCTTCCCAGTATGTATTATGTGTGTCTGACAGAGGATAGAGCTGTACAGTTCACACAAACACATACTGTGTCTGAGCACACACATCTAAGCAGCAACCAATGGGCAGGAGAGGCACATACAGTACAGACAGTACAGTAAACACACATGATGAAAGTGTCAGAGGGACACTGAAGCTGTACAGTACAGAGCCCTAATGCATCAGTAGTGATGAGAACATGAATGAGTCACCATGGCGACAGAGGTGTTGTTTAACACACAGGTTAGTGTCTGACTGAGACAGTCCAATAGGTGAGCAGTACAGTAGAGAACACAGTTGCCTGAGCCCAGTCTCCCCGGAGCCTTGAGCTGAGGGCAGACCAGGCAGGCAGGGGACTCCAAGGAGGAGATGCTGATTGGTTGTCTTGGGCACTATGGCTACTGTTGCTACGGGGGCAGGACAGTTCTGAATAGCAGACTACAGCAGAGAGTGTTGTGTGGTTTGCAAACATATGCCATGACCAAGAGGACTTTACTGCAGTAATCGGATAGAGCCAGTGGGAATAGCATAAAGTTGTAAGACTACTGCATGGAAAGGAAGTGTTCGTTGTGTGCAAAATACTGTTTGCTGAAAACAAAATAGAACCACAGAAAACATATGGCTTCTATACTAGACACAGTAACTTGCTGGCACAAGGGTCTGAGAAGTAATAATTATTATCTAAGCAGCTGGAGTGTTCTCTCAGTGTTAGTTGAGGACTAGAAGCATCAGTGTAGACTAGAAGCATTAGTGTAGAACTGAGGATGTGATTATAACTTCAAACTAGGCAGACAGTCAATCAGCATTATAACTTCAGCTATCACACAAATAATATGGAGTCATACAGAATCTAGGACAGTTACCACCAAGGTTACCACTGGCAACTCAGTCCTCATCAAATCATTTACAAGTTATAGAGGATATGCTCTTTAAGAGTAGGTAAGAAATAACTTTAAATGTTCCGTAATATCCTCCTTGACTGAAGCCACTGTTCACTGCTCATTAGTAGCTTAAAGAAATCATTAATTATAATGCATAATCTTAACATTGATCATTTCTAGAGACGTTTTCAAGGCAAATAGAGAAATCAGAGGAGATATTAATCACAAAGCCAATCATATCAACTATTTTCCATCCCAACTGGGCTTTTCTCTAGGAGGATTTAAGGGGTGTGTCTGTACCCCTCCCTACTCTCTGTGTGGCCTGGGCAATGTACTGTACTTACCCCGTTCCACTCCACGCTCATACTCACTTCCTCGCCCCCGTCCGGGCCACTCTCGTACTTGACTGTGGCGTCGGAGGTCAGGCTCTCGCGGCTCCACTGCTTCTCCCGCGCCTCTGGCTCGCTCAGAACATCCGCCACACGCTGCTTGTGCACCGTGTCCAGACCCTGGCCATGTGGACAGGAAACACACACACAAACATTAACAAACACATTATCAACCAAATAAACACGTACAATGACGACAAAGACAGAAAAAAACATTCTCAGTGATTAACTCCGCATCATGTGTTTGATTTTGTTATGGATTTGTTTACAACAGATGAAAAGCAGGACCTGCTAGTATTTCAGTTAAGGCAGCTGGACCAATGATACTCCTACAGTGTGTTCACATCCAGTTTCATATTACCCCGGGCTGGCAAATCTATTATTCAGGCAGGTGAGTGGCAGAAGAGGACAGTGGTCACACCTGTTTTCTGGAGCGCATGGCGGCTTCCTCTAGGGTCTCTGCCGCCTCTAATTTACCCTGCCGCCTGTAGAGGGCGCCCAGGTTCTTCAGGGTGGTGGTCACTGTAGGGCTGGTGGACAGATGTTAGAAACGCATCATGAACTAATGTGATCACATACAGGTCCATAGGCATACCACTATAGTGGTGAGTTTCCATACTTAATACTGACCTGTCTACTTTACAGGCTTTGTACCAGCCTCCATACTCTCCGAACGGGGAGCCGTCCTGCTGCTTTCCCTAGAGAAGAGAAGAACCACCACATCCATCAGTTGTCAGGATTTAAGAACTTCAAACACTAATGACTGAAATCCACCACCATAGTAAAATGATTGGTCATTAATTAATAGCCTAAATATTCCAGCTAATTCTTGACAAATGACACGGAACCGTGAAAGGAAATTTGGATGACATCAGATATGAAAATATGAAATTGTTAATGCGCCCCCAAAAGACATGACAGTGCTTAGTGTTTAGTGGTGGTAAATTGAGAGATTACGGTCGGTCACGATTTCTTCTTCAGCCGTCTAAATCGATAAGCCTTCCATACCGTGACTGAAACACTTTCCCCTGTCAGTTGTGAAAGTTAATCCACAGCATCAGCAGTGACTAATACCATGGCCCTTAGTGAAAGTGGACTCTATCATCCATCCATCACACACACTCAGACACTCTCTCACCTTGCTCTGTTCCTCTCTCTCCTCCGCATGCATCCAAATGGGTTTGTTCTTATCTGCAGAGTCAGAGACAAACAACCATCAGACACATGCAGGTGCAAAAATATATTGACTGACATTCAGGCAGTCAGGCAGACAGCAGGGTATGGTCTGGCACAAACCATTAGAGCATTCAACTGAAAGGTCATTGTTGTTTTCAGAAGCATTTCCACTAAAATGATGACAGCGGCCTGAAAACATGAACCTTTACATCAAATGACAGATGATACTTGATTAGTGTGTGTGTGTGTGTGTGTGTGTGTGTGTGTGTGTCTTACCGTCTACAGAGCCAAACTCCCTCTCATGTGCGCGGGTAAGGATCTCTTTGTACAGAGTTTCAGCCTGCTTGAACTTCCCCTGCTTCAGGTAACAGGACGCCTGTGAGAGAAATAGAGACTGAATGTAAGAATGTGACCTTCAAAAAGTTTGAAACTCTTCTTCTCATAACTCATTCTAAATGTGCAGTATTCATTCCAAGTCAGTGATCTCCTAACCCCTGTGTGACCCTCTCACCAGGTTGTTCTTGGTCTTGGCCACGTTGGGGTCGTCAGGGCCCAGTTTGGTCTGGTAGATCTCCAGGGCCCGCTGGTAGTAGTACTCCACCTCCTCATACTTGCCCTGGTTCTGACACAACAGGGCCAGGTTGTTCAGCTGCTTGGCCACATCCGGGTGATCCTTACCCAGAACCTGGGCAGGAGAAGATGGGCGGAGGCCATGTTAATATAACAAAACAGTGAGTAATAAAGCAATAATGGTTCATGATAATCAAACCATCTCAAAGTGAAAGGATGAAAAGGGAGGGTTCATAACAACAAAAAGAGACCATTACTTTGGATAGGATATTAATCTCAGTTAGGTCCTTTATGTGTGCTGGCTGGACCATTAGATAGGAGGCTGAAGTCAGAGCAGAGCTAGAGAAGAGGCGTCATTAAGGGGTTGGGTGAGGACGGAGAACGGAGCTGAGGGCTAACTCTGTCTGTCTGACTGACTCACTGAGAGAGAGACACACACAGAGACAGGGAGTTAGGAGTGAGAGGCTCACTGCTCATTAGCAGGGAAATAATTATCTTCCTTCCCCTCTATGCAGTGAGTGACAGAGGGCTGGGTTGGAGAGGCTTGCTGATTAGGAGGTAGTCTCTCTGATTTAGACCTGGGACGATAAACCAAAAATTATCGATACAGACCATAACGATCACTTATTGAAGGCATTTTGCTGATATCGTTCATTACGATAAGTAGCCTATACTAGAGACATTTTTAAAAGAAATACGTTTACTAATATAGGTGATTGTTAATGGGATAATTGATGGCTACAACCATCAAACTAGTAGTAGTAGTAGTTTAAAGGATCATTTAAAAAATAACGTGGTGCAGATTAATGTTATAAACTTATTTTTCTGTTTATCGTTATTGCATCAATTCAGGCAATTTATTGCAATACAGATTTTTGTCCATATCACCCAGCTCTACTCTGATTGATGGTTTCTGTCAGAATGATCAATTTACTGTTAACATCATTAGAAGTATAGGATTTCAAAAAGGAAAAAACTGCTAGGTCTGGGTGATATATTGATAGAGTTTTATTGAGGAGAGTGATACTTTTGAACTCGAGACCAGGTTAGTGCCTGTTACTGGGGAACTTTGTAGAGACACCCTCCCTCCTCCTCCTTCGGATCTTCATCCCTAGGGATAAACCAAGGACTGAGGCAGCTCACACAGTGGGAAAAGCACTTGCTATAAAAAGAGAGAGAACTGCAGGAAAATTCCTCCGGCATCAGCAAAGCCTTCTTCCTTCCTCTGTTGCCGAAAGCTGGGTGGCAAATCTCTAAGCTCAAGAGAGAGCTTTATCATCAGTTTAAGAAGCTCTAGCAGAGAGACGGTCGACATCACAGAGGGAGTCGACATGTCATTCTCAGCACAGAGGGAGAGAGCGAGAGGGAGAGCGTGAAACAGAAAGGGAGATGGATAAATAGAGACTGCACTTTGCATTTCCAGGACTGCTGAGTTTCTCCTTTATAAGCATCCCATTTTGTGTAGCCAAAAATAATGAACCCTCCCAGGACTTAACTCTCTCCAAAGTCAAAGTTCCTCTTTGAACAACACAAAGCTTTAGGGAGGCTTGGGAGACGAGGGGGCGAATGCAGGGGAGAACATATACACAGAAAATACGTTTTAAAAGTTATGTTTAACTAAGAGGAAAACTTTCGAAAGAACAGCAAAGTCCTTTGAAACTTGAGCAAGATATATTTGGAGAGGAGCAGGAATCAGGATCGTTCTGCAGTGTTAGCACTCCATACCCACAATGACTTGTGGTGACCAGCGCCCTCTGACCCACCTTCTCCCGGATCTCCAGAGCCCGCTTGCAAAGTGGCTCCGCCTCTTTGTACTTCCCCCGTTTCCCGTAGAGCACGGCCAGGTTGTTGAGAGTAGCAGCCACCTGACACACACACACACACACACAAAATCAGTAATAGAAAGAAAACACGCTTAGGACAGCCTTAATCATCTGTGCCCGTGCATGTAGTATTGAGTGTCCACAAGACTCAACCATGGCAGCAGAGTGCAATTGATCTGGTGAATTTAACCAATTAGAGGCGTGACCGACCGATGAGAGGAAGACAGAGGGGAAACAGGAAGTGATTACTGCTATGTAATTATATCCCAATCAGCAGGATGAATCTCCACCACATTCAGACCCAAGAGGGGCCCACAGTGACCTTTGATTTAGACTAGGGTGGTCTGGTGCCCACATGTGACATACATGGAGGGGGTGATAGAGAGCCTAACCTCTGCTGCTCTGAGTCTGCACTGAGGGGACTGGTGGTCCAGGGAGCGTCAGAGACACAAGCCTGTTGAGGTCGACAGTTAGTGGACCTTCCTGGCTGGCTGGTTACAGAAATACTGCTGAGACACAGATTGATGAGAAACCATACTCACCGCTGGATGGTCCCTGCCCAGAGTCTTCTCCCTGATCGCCAGAGCGTCATTCAGCAGGTTGGCTGCCTCTTTGTATTTGTTCTGGTCCCTGATAGAGGAGAGAGAAAGACGGAGAGAACTCATGGGGCATGTTACCGTGGTTTCTCTGACAATGAGGTCTTTTACCACCATAGAACTCGAGTCCAGGACTCGGACTTCACTCAGACTAAAGTCGTGATTTTCATGACTCATGACTCGACCAGTTGTGACTTTGTTGTCGGAAAATCTATATTTTGCATAATTCAACATACTAGCTACAACAGCAAATGTTAGATAGCTGTATGATCTATTTAGCCTTACAAATGTGCAACAGTGTAATGACATTTTGCTTAAAAAATGGTTGGAAAGCTACTTTTAGCACTACCAAGGGACTCAAGTATAAAGGACTCGGACACTACAGACTCGACTCGGACTTTTGGTTTAGTGACTTGACTACATCACTGCCACAGGGTCTCAAGAACAAGTCTGACAACATTGGGGATCATAACCATGGTTTCTCAACAATGGGACCAAGTCTCTCCCCACATAAACAACCATTTTGTCCAACACAACCCTTTGTTATGGACGGATGTTTTGTCTTGGATAGCCCCATAGCAATTATTGCCAGGTTTAAAAACATGCAATGCAATCAATGATTATTCCCATTTCCTAGAACTAGCAGCTGACAATTCTTACTATACAAGCTGACAAGCTGATATCTTATCCAATCAGGATCAAACATACACAGTGTACAAAACATTAGGAATGACAGACTGACCAGGTAAATCCAGGTGAAAGCTATGATCCCTTATTGATGTCACCTGTTAAATCCACTTCAATCAGTGTAGATGAAAGGTAGGAGACCGGTTAAATAAGGACTTTTTAAACCTTGAGACAATTGAGACATGGATTATGTTTGTGTGCCATTCAGAGGGTGAATGGGCAAGACAAAAGATTGAAGTGCCTTTCAGTGTGTCAAGAACTGCAACGCTGCTGGGTTTTTCACAATCAACAGTTTCCCATGTGTATCAAGGATGGACTACCACCCAAAGGACATCCAGCCAACTTGACACAACTGTGGGAAGCATTGGCGTCAACATGGGCCAGCATCCCTGTGGAACCCTTTCGACATCTTGTAGAGCCCATGCCCCGTCGAATTGAGGCTGTTCTGAGGGATCATATATTCAACTCAATATTAGGAAGGTGTTCCTAATGTTTTGTACACTCAGTGTATATTTGACTATAATTTATCCACAGCCAATACAAACCACCCCGGCCCACCTCCCCACCCCAGAGCCCCTTCCCCAGGCTGACCTGTAGACCAAGGCCAGGATGTTGAGCATGGTGGCCACGTCAGGGTGGTCGTGTCCGGAGGTCTTCTCCAGGTCCTCCAAGGCCTGTTTGCAGAGGGGCACGGCCACCTCGTAGCGGCCCTGGGAGGCGTACTGGATCACCAGGTTGTGGAGGGTCCTGAGGCGGGCCGGGATCTCATAGCCTCCCTGCTGGGCCGCAGCTGCTGCTGCACTACCATGGGGCTGCTGGACTGGAGACACACAGAGGAGGAGGAGGGGGGGCGAGGGGTTAACATAAACTATACTCACATGGACTACTCACACACACCATTACTGCTGAAGTTGAGAAACTGAGAGACTGTACAAGCACATATGAAGTATGTTGGGTCGGGAAACCATCTAAATGTCTCATATCACTGCTTGAGAGTGTGTGCCAATATGTACGGATGAGGTGTGTGTGTGTGTGAGAGTATGTTATAAGCGAGAGGTCAGGAAACCACCTGATTGGGTTTCTCATTAGACACCCATAGCTCTGTACTGACTCTGAAGGAAGGCCACTGGGCTGAAGAAGGAGTGGTCCTCTGTAGTAATAACCCTCCCCACCACACCCAAAGTACCAAAAATGTCTCACCAGTAACAAGTGATCCAAGGTGTTCTTTAGAGCTAAGACTGCTTGCAATTTTGTGACAAGAGTGACAAATTCTAGGGCCTCCCGAGTAGCGCAGTGGTCTAAGGTACTGTATCGCAGTGCTAGCTGTGCCACTAGAGATCCTGATTCGATTCCAGGCTCTGTCACAGCCAGCTGCAACCGGGAGACCCAGGTGGCGGCGCACAATTGGCCCAGCGCCGTCCAGGGTAGGGGATGTCCTTGTCCCATCGCGCACTAGAGACTACTGTGGCGGGCCGGGCGCAGTGCACGCTGACTCAGTCGCCAGGTGTACAGTGTTTCCTCTGGCACATTGGTGTGGCTGGCTTCCGGGTTAAGCGGGCACTGTGTCAAGAAGCAGTGCGGCTAGGTTGGGTTGTGTTTCGGAGGATGCACGACTCTCGACCTTCGCCTCTCCCGTGACCGTACGGGAGATGTAGCGATTGGACAAGACTAACTACCAATTGGATACCACAAAATTGGGGAGAAAAGGGGGTAAAATACCACAAAAAAAAGACAAATAAGAAAATAGAGTGAAAAATTATATTGACATGCATGGAAAAGCTAGGACTGGCACAATGACTGTGTAACCGACAGTTATGGATGAAGACCGTCATGAAAATAAAATAACCGTCATAACAGTAAAAAAATATATATATATATATACACACAGAGGGAAAAAAGTATTTGATCCCCTGCTGATTTTGTAAGTTTGCCCACTGACAAAGAAATGATCAGTCTATAGTATTAATGGTAGGTTTATTTGAACAGTGAGAGACAGAATAACAACAAGAAAATCCAGAAAAACAAATGTCAAAAATTTTATAAATTGATTTGCATTTTAATTAGGGAAATAAGTATTTGACCCCCTCTCAATCAGAAAGATTTCTGGCTCCCAGGTGTCTTTTATACAGGTAACGAGTTGAGATTAGGAGCACACTCTTAAAGAGAGTGCTCCTAATCTCAGTTAGTTACCTGTATAAAAGACACCTGTCCACAGAAGCAATCAATCAGATTCCAAACTCTCCACCATGGCCAAGACCAAAGAGCTCTCCAAGGATGTCAGGGACAAGATTGTAGACCTACACAAGGCTGGAATGGGCTACAAGACCATCGCCAAGCAGCTTGGTGAGAAGGTGACAACAGTTGGTGCGATTATTCGTAAATGGAAGAAACACAAAATAACTGTCAATCTCCCTCGGCCTGGGGCTCCATGCAAGATCTCACCTCGTGGAGTTGCAATGATCATGAGAACGGTGAGGAATCAGCCCAGATCTACAAGGATCTTGTCAATGATCTCAAGACAGCTGGGACCATAGTCACCAAGAAAACAATTGGTAACACACTACGCCGTGAAGGACTGAAATCCTGCAGCGCCTGCAAGGTCCCCCTGCTCAAGAAAGCACATATACAGGGCCGTCTGAAGTTTGCCAATGAACATCTGAATGATTCAGAGGAGAACTGGGTGAAAGTGTTGTGGTCAGATGAGACCAAAATGGAGCTCTTTGGCATCAACTCAACTCGCCGTGTTTGGAGGAGGAGGAATAATGCTGCCTATGACCCCAAGAACACCATCCCTACCGTCAAACATGGAGGTGGAAACATTATGCTTTGGGGGTGTTTTTCTGCTAAGGGGACAGGACAACTTCACCGCATCAAAGAGACGATGGACGGGGCCATGTACCGTCAAATCTTGGGTGAGAACCTCCTTCCCTCAGCCAGGGCATTGAAAATGGGTCATGGATGGGTATTCCAGCATGACAATGACCCAAAACACACGGCCAAGGCAACAAAGGAGTGGCACAAGAAGAAGCACATTAAGGTCCTGGAGTGGCCTAGCCAGTCTCCAGACCTTAATCCCATAGAAAATCTGTGGAGGGAGCTGAAGGTTCGAGTTGCCAAACGTCAGCCTCGAAACCTTAATGACTTGGAGAACATCTGCAAAGAGGAAAAATCCCTCCTGAGATGTGTGCAAACCTGGTGGCCAACTACAAGAAACGTTTGACCTCTGTGATTGCCAACAAGGGTTTTGCCACCAAGTACTAAGTCATGTTTTGCAGAGGGGTCAAATACTTATTTCCCTCATTCAAATGCAAATCAATTTATAACATTTTTGACATGCGTTTTTCTGGATTTTTTTGTTGTTATTCTGTCTCTCACTGTTCAAATAAACCTACCATTAAAATTATAGACTGATCATGTCTTTGTCAGTGGGCAAACGTACAAAATCAGCAGGGGATCAAATACTTTTCCCCCCTCGCTGTACATATATACACTACCAGTCAAAAGTTTTAAAAACACCTACTCATTCAAGGGTTTTTCTTTATTTTTACATTGTAGAATAATAGTGAAGACATCAAACTATAAAATAACACATATGGAATCATGTAGTAACCAAAAAAAGTGTTAAACAAATCAAAAAATAAATATTTTATATTTGAGATTCTTCAAATAGCCACCCCTTGCCTTGATGACAGTTTGGTGACCAAGTCCATATTATGGCAAGACCAGCTCAGATAAGCAAAGAGAAACGACAGTCCATCATTACTTTAAGACATGAAGGTCAGTCAATACGGATCATTTCAAGAACTTTGAACGTTTCTTCAAGTGCAGTCGCAAAAACCATCAAACGCTATGGTGAAACGGGCCGTCATGAGAACCACCACAGGAATGGAAGACCCAGAGTTACCTCTGCTGCAGAGGATAAGTTCATTAGAGATACCAGCCTCAAATTGCAGCCCAAATAAATGCTTCACAGAGTTAATGTCACAGACACATCTCAACATCAACTGTTCAGAGTAGACTGCGTGAATCAGGCCTTCATGGTCGAATTGCTGCAAAGAAACCACTACTAAAAGGACACCAATAAGAAGAAGAGACCTGCTTGTGTCAAGAAACACGAGCAATGGGCATTAGACAGGTGGAAATCTGTCTTTTGGTCTGGAGTCCAAATTGGAGATTTTTGGTTCCAACCGCCGTGTCTTTGTGAGACGCGGTGTGGGTGAACGGAAGGTCTCTGCATGTGTAGTTCCCACCGTAAAGCATGGAGGAGGAGGAGGTGTTATGGTGTGGGGATGCTTTGCTACGCCATTCCATCTGGTTTGGGCTTAGTGGGACTATCATTTGTTTTTCAACAAGACAATGACCCAACAAACCTCCAGGCTGTGTAAGGGCTATTTTACCAAGAAGGAGAGTGATGGAGTGCTGCATCAGATGACCTGGCCTCCACAATCCCCCAACCTCAACCAAATTGAGATGGTTTGGCATGAGTCGGACAGCAGAGTGAAGGAAAAGCAGTCAACAAGTGCTCAGCATGTGGGAACTCCTTCAAGATTGTTGGAAAAGCATTCCTGGTGAAGCTGGTTGAGAGAATACCAAGAGTGTGCAAAGCTGTCATAAAGGCAAAGGGTGGCTATTTGAAGAATCTCAAATATAAAATATTTTTTGATTTGTTTAACACTTTTTTTGTTACTACACAATTCATAGTTTTGATGTCTTCACTATTATTCTACAATGTAGAAAATAGTAAAAATAAAGAAAACCCCTTGAATGAGTAGGTGTGTCCAAACTTTGGACTGGTACTGTGTGAGATATATATATATATATATATATATATATACACACACACACTGCTCAAAAAAATAAAGGGAACACTTAAACAACACAATGTAACTGCAAGTCAATCACACTTCTGTGAAATCAAACTGTCCACTTAGGAAGCAACACTGATTGACAATACATTTCACATGCTGTTGTGCAAATGGAATAGACAACAGGTGGAAATTATAGGCAATTCGCAAGACACCCCCAATAAAGGACTGGTTTTGCAGGTGGTGACCACAGACCACTTCTCAGTTCTTATGCTTCCTGGCTGATGTTTTGGTCACTTTTGAATGCTGGCGGTGCTTTCACTCTAGTGGTAGCATGAGACGGAGTCTACAACCCACACAAGTGGCTCAGGTAGTGCAGCTCATCCAGGATGGCACATCAATGCGAGCTGTGGCAAGAAGGTTTGCTGTGTCTGTCAGCGTAGTGTCCAGAGCATGGAGGCGCTACCAGGAGACAGGCCAGTACATCAGGAGACGTGGAGGAGGCCGTAGGAGGGCAACAACCCAGCAGCAGGACCGCTACCTCCGCCTTTGTGCAAGGAGGAGCACTGCCAGAGCCCTGCAAAATGACCTCCAGCAGGCCACAAATGTGCATGTGTCTGCTCAAATGGTCAGAAACAGACTCCATGAGGGTGGTATGAGGGCCCGACGTCCACAGGTGGGGGTTGTGCTTACAGCCCAACACCGTGCAGGACGTTTGGCATTTGCCAGAGAACACCAAGATTGGCAAATTCGCCACTGGCGGCCTGTGCTCTTCACAGATGAAAGCAGGTTCACACTGAGCACGTGACAGACGTGACAGAGTCTGGAGACGCCGTGGAGAACGTTCTGCTGCCTGCAACATCCTCCAGCATGACCGGTTTGGCGGTGGGTCAGTCATGGTGTGGGGTGGCATTTCTTTGGGGGGCCGCACAGCCCTCCATGTGCTCGCCAGAGGTAGCCTGACTGCCATTAGGTACCGAGATGAGATCCTCAGACCCCTTGTGAGACCATATGCTGGTGCGGTTGGCCCTGGGTTCCTCCTAATGCAAGACAATGCTAGATCTCATGTGGCTGGAGTGTGTCAGCAGTTCCTGCAAGAGGAAGGCATTGATGCTATGGACTGGCCCGCCCGTTCCCCAGACCTGAAACCAATTGAGCACATCATGTCTCGCTCCATCCACCAACGCCACGTTGCACCACATACTGTCCAGGAGTTGGCGGATGCTTTAGTCCAGGTCTGGGAGGAGATCCCTCAGGAGACCATCCGCCACCTCATCAGGAGCATGCCCAGGCGTTGTAGGGAGGTCATACAGGCACGTGGAGGCCACACACACTACTGAGCCTCATTTTGACTTGTTTTAAGGACATTACATCAAAGTTGGATCAGCCTGTAGTGTGGTTTTCCACTTTAATTTTGAGGGTGACTCCAAATCCAGACCTCCAAGGGTTGATTAATTTGATTTCCATTGATAATTTTTGTGTGATTTTGTTGTCAGCACATTCAACTATGTAAAGAAAAAAGTATTTAATAAGATTATTTCATTCATTCAGATCTAGGATGTGTTATTTTAGTGTTCCCTTTATTTTTTTGAGCAGTATATGTATGTATGTATGTATGTATGTATGTATGTATGTATGTATGTATATATGTATATATGTATATATGTATATATGTATATATGTATATATGTATATATGTATGTATGTATGTATGTATATATATATATATATATATATACACATATATACACACACACACAGTGCCTTCAGAAAGTATTCACACCCCTTGACTTCACATTTAAAATGGATTAAATTGAGATTGTGTATCACAGGCCTACACACAATACCCCATAATATGAAAGTGGAATTACATTTGTAGACATTTTTACAAATGAATTAAAAATGAAAAGCTGAAATGTCAATACATATTCAACCCCTTTGTTATGGCAAGCCTAAGTAAGTTCAGGAGTAAAAATGTGATTAACAAGACACATAATAAGTTGCATGGACTGTGTGCAATAATAGTGTTTAACATGATTTTTGAATGACAACCTCATCTCTGTACCCCACACATACAACTACAGTATCTGTAAGGTCCCTCAGTCGAGCAGTGAATTTCAAAACACAGATTCAACCACAACCAGGGAGGTTTTCCAATGCCTCGCAAAGAAGGTAGATGGGTAAAAATAAAAAAAGCAGACATTGAATATCCCTTTGAGCATGGTGAAGTTATTAATTACACGTTGGATGGTGTATCAATACACCCAGTCACTAAAATCTCTAAAAACACGTTTTCACTTTGTCATTATGGGGTATTGTGTGTAGATAGGTGAGAGAAAAACATCTATTAAATCCATTTTGAATTCAGGTTGTAACAACAAAATGTGGAATAAGTCAAGGGGTATGAATACTTTCTGAAGGCACACTCAGTGGTCAGTTTATTAGGTACACCACCCGCTCACGAAAGTGGGTCGCTTCTACAGATAGTGAGTCACGTGGCCGTGGCTTGCTATATAAAGCAGGCAGACAGGCATCGAGTTATTCAGTTACTGTTCGATTGAATGTTAGAATGGGCAAAACTAGTGACCTAACAGACTTTGCGCGTGGTATGATCGTCAGTGCCAGGCGCACCGGTTCCAGTATCTCAGAAACGTCCGGCCTCCTGGGCTTTTCACGCATGACAGTGTCTAAGGTTTACCGAGAATGGTGCGACAAACAAAAAACATCTAGTCAGAGGCAGTCCTGTGGGCAAAAACAGCTTGTTGATGAGAGGTCGAAGGAAAATGGCAAGAATCGTGCAAGCTAGCAGGCGGGCCATAAATAGGCAAATAACGGCACAGCACAACAGTGGTGTGAAGAACAGCATCTCGGAACGCACAACTCGTCGGTCCTGGTCACGGATGGGCTATTGCAGCAGATGACCACACTGGGTTCCACTCCTATCAGCCAAATACAAGAAGAAGAGGCTCCAGTTGGCACGCGATCACAAACACTGGACAATTGTGGAGTGGAAAAACATTGCCTGGTCCGACGAATCCCGGCTCCTGTTGCTGGCAGTCAGGATTTGGCGTAAGCAACATGAGTCCATGGCCCCATCCTGCCTGGTGTCAATGGTACAGCGGTGGTGTAATGGTGTGGGGAATGTTTTCCTGGCACATGTTACGTCCCTTGATACCAATTGAGCAACGTATCCATGCCCCGAAGAATTCAGGATGTTCTGGAGGCAAAGGGGGGTCCGACCCGGTACTAGATGGGTGTACCTAATAAACTTTTTCTTTTTTGTGTGTGTGGAACGAACAGCTAACTGAAGACGACACAGCCGGGCATTCGTGTGGTTGAGTCTTTTTCGCCGTAACATGGTCGTCACTAGTTACCACAGCCACAGCTGTGGTAACTAGTGACAACCTGGCCGCCAGTCAACCCATTATTGACTTGAATGGGAATGCCTGTTCTATTCATTCTATTTCTATGGCAGCACATGCCGTTAGGAACGGTTATTACGGTGACCACGTCATTTGGCTGGCCAATTACCGTCATCCAAAATGTAATGATCGTCACAGCCCTAGGCAAAGCCAAACATATCAAATAGACATGTGAAATGGTAGTACTGCATTGGAAAAAGGTCACTTGTCATGGTCTTTTCACTTCATATATGAGAGGACAGGTACAAACGTTCACTACACTAACTACCTAGAAAATCCTAGCTATGCTCCATCTACAACACATGACCAAAAGTATGTGAGCATTAAAATGGAGTTGGTTCCCCCTTTGCTGCTATAACAGCCTCCACTCTTCTTGGAAGGCTTTCCACTAGATGTTGGAACATTGCTGTGGATACTTGCTTCCATTCAGCCACAAGAGCATTAATGAGGTCGGGCACTGATGTTGGGCGATTAGGCCTGGCTTGCAGTCGGCGTTCCAATTCATCCCAAAGGTGTTCGATGTGGTTGAGGTCAGGGCTCTGTGCAGGCCAGTCAAGGTCTTCTACACCGATCTCGACAAACCATTTCTGTATGGACCTTGCTTTGTGCACTGGAGCATTGTCATGCTGAAACAGGAAAGGGCCTTCCCCAAAATGTTGACACAAAGTTGGAAGCACAGAATTGTCTAGAATGTCATTGTATTCTGTAGCGTTAAGATTTCCCTTCACTGGAACTAAGGGGCCTAGCCCGAACCATGAACAGCAGCTCCAGACCATTATTCCTCCTCCACCAGACTTTACAGTTGGCACTATGCATTGGAGCAGGTAGTGTTCTCCTGGCATCCGCCAAACCCAGATTCGTCCATCGGACTGCCAGATGGTGAAGCGTGATTCATCCCTCCAGAGAACGCGTTTCCACTGCTCCAGAGTCCAATGGAGGCGAGCTTCACACCACTCCAGCCGACGCTTGGCATTGAGCATGGTGATCTTAGGCTTGTGTGCGGCTGCTCAGCCATGGAAACCCATTCATGAAGCTCCCGACGAACAGTTATTGTGCTGACGTTGCTTCCAGAGGCAGTTTGGAACTCAGTAGTTTGTGTTGCAACCGAGGACAGGCGATTTTTACGCGCTACACAGCGAGCCCGTTCTGTGAGTGGCTGAGCCGTTGTTGCTCCTAGACGTTTCCACTTCACAATAACAGCACTTACAGTTGACCGGGGCAGCTCTAGCTGGGCAGAAATTTGACGAACTAACTTGACGGGAAAGGTGGCATCCTATGATGGGGCCACGTTGAAAGTCACTGAGCTCTACAGTAAGGCCATCCTACTGCCAATATTTCCCTATGGAGATTGCATGGCTTTGTGCTCGATTTTATACACCGGTCAGCAGCGGGTGTGGCTGAAATAGGCAAATCCACTAATTTGAAGGGGTGTCCACATACTTTTGTATATATAGTGTAGCTGGGGACAAGCAATTAAATCATCTCCACCACTGCACTGCGGGGGACCTAAGACATAAGAGTATTTCAGGGAGCTACCAGTCAGGACAGGAGAGGAGTCTAATCCACTTCACGCTACCAGGATCCTTTCAGACAGACACGGGGCCCCGTCTCAGTCAGCTCTGCTTCATGTGGGGCAGGATTAATGTGAGCGCACTCAGGAGCATTTGATGCTTGCCTCCCCCGCATTCTGGAGAGCTTCCTGGCACTACCCACTCTTCCCTCTGATCCTCTCTTTTTTTCCCTCTCTCTCTTCAGATTGCGCTCATTAAGCAGGCAGAAACTTGGAATAAAAGAAAGTAATAATTGCCCAATACAAACACAACAAAGGACTAGAGAGATCCTGCTCCTCTCTCTCTCCCCCTCCTCCACAACCCTGTCTGCATCTTATTAGATCTCTATGCGGTGGAGCAATTACTGGTGATGTACCCTTTAAATCCCTGAAAAATGTTACATATGCAGATTACTTATATGCTTTTTTTCATTTACTGTAAGTGGTTCCATGTAGGATCATTATACGATATTGTACGTAGGACCCCTTTTGTTTAATTTTGTAAATAAATGCCCAGCTAAGTGGGGAGTGGGTGTTGTCCCTCTGCCTCAGATCCTCTCCTGTACATGCTGGTTGCTGGAGTGAAGCCAACCTGGTGACTGTGTGATCTGGCTCACTGGCTCCATTTCCATTTGGCCTGCCTCCACACTCAACCAGCTTTGACTAATAGCACTTTAAAGCTCACAGCGATAAGGACTTTCAGACCAACAAGAGGAGAAAGAGACCAGTTAATGTATTGGAGAGAGTGGGGAGGGAAAGTGGGAAGTAGGAACAAGGAGAAAGGAGAGGAAACGGGAGGTGAGGAACGGAGAGAGACATGGGGATAGGAAGAAGACTCACTGCCTGGAGGTTGGTCATCCTGGTCGTCTGGGAACAGATCATCCAGATTATCTTTACTGGAGTCAGAGTCATTCTCCTCCTAACAGAGGAAAACAGGGATTGTTATTGTCATTCAGTGTAAACCAGGCAGCTGAAAAGAGGTGGTGTGCGTCAGTCTGGGTGTGTGTTGTGTGGTGTGGATTAACTCACCGATGGCAACAGGTCCTTGTCGTACTTCTTCAGCTGGTTCATGAATTCCAGGTGTTTCTTCTCCTCCTCCAGCTGAGCCACGCTCTGCTCGCTCTTCTGCAGCTTCTGCTGGGTGCCTGCCAGCTCGTCCCTCAGCCACTGGTTCTCCTGGCACAGCCGGCGCACCTGCGCACGCAGCTTCTGCTTCTCCGACTCCACCGAGCTCAGGTGGCCCGACAGCGCCATCATCACCTGGGCCAAACACAGCGAGGGGGTTAGGGGTGTGGCAAGTGGGCAAGAGGTCAAGGGGGTGAGGAAGAACACTGAGAAGACTGGTAGTAAATAATACATGGATAATCCTTAGTTCTAGTCTGATTTACTGACACAGGTCATTTAGGTGGTAGGTGCCTGTGGGTTCTCCATCTAGCTGTCTAATTTGAAAGTGAATTAGATTAGATCCCAGAGGGCTCTAGCTCCAGCTCTCCCCCAGCGGTGTGTAGCCTAGCCCTATACAGTGTACTAACCTGTGCCTCGCTCAGGCCCAGCTCCAGCATCTCCAGGGACTTGCGGATCATGAGGGACTTCTCCTCCACCAAGACCCCCTGGTCATCCTGCTTCAGGCAGTGCAGCGTGCCCAGCAGGCCCTCCAGGATGGAGTTGTGCTCCTGCTTTAGAGCCTCCAGGCCCTGGATCACCTGCTTGGTCCTGGAGATGATCTCATCCTGGGACAGCTTCTCCCCAGGGTCCTCATCCTCCTCCTTCACACACACCATGGCAGACATGTTCTCACGCATCCTGTACCAGGCACACAGAAGAGGAATGGATTTAGTTTTAAAAAGTAGAAGTATGAATACCCTGGCCTAAGTACAGTATAAATATGCTGGCCCTTTATTTCACTGTCGCTAAATGCATATGCATATCAGTTGACTCCTGGCTGTATCCCAATGTGTTAGAGACTAAGAAATTTCGGCTTGAGCTTAACTTCCATCCTCACAGTTGTGCAGCATATTACATTTTATCATCAGACAGCCTTTCTAGCATCTAACCTACTCTTATCTATTCAGCCTTTCTTAACCATTATGCGCCTCAGTGTACATGTGTCTGCGTGGGAAAATCACTAGGTTTGTTGCACAAAGTGTGCTTATCAACCAATGACTGACACACATGCAGGCAGGGCTTTTGAGAAAAGACAGAAGAGTGTCTGGGCGATGTATTTGATATATGAATATAAAACATACAACAATTTCAAAGATTTTACTGAGTTATAGTTCATATAAGGAAATCAGTCATTTGAAATAAATTCATTAGGCCTAATCTATGGATTTCACATGACTGGGCAGGGGTTCAGCCATGGGTGGGCCTGGGAGGAAATAGGCCCACCCACTTGGCAGCCAGACCAACCCACTGGGGAGCCAGGCCCAGCCAACCAGAATTCGTTTTTCCCCACAAAAGGGCTTTATTACAGACAGGAATACTCCTCAGCAACACCTCCCCACCCCCCTCTAAGACGATCCCACAGGTGAAGAAGCCGGATGTGGAGGTCCTGGGGTGGCGTGGTTACACGTGGTCTGCGGTTGTGAGGCAGGTTGGACCTACTGCTAAATTCTCTAAAACGACGATGGATAAATTAACAAATTCTCTGGCAACAGCTCTGGTGGACATTCCTGCAGTCAGCATGCCAATTGCACACTCCCTCAAAACTTGAGACATCTGTGGCATTGTGTTGTGTGATAAAACTGCACATTTTAAAGTGGACTTTTATTGTCCCCAGCACAAGGTGCACCTGTGTAATGATCATACTGTTTAATCAGCTTCTTGATATGCCACACCTGAAAGGTGGATGGATTCTCTTGGCAAAGGAGAAATGCACAACATTTGAGATAAATAAGCTTTTTGTGCATATGTAAAATTTCTGGGAACTTTTATTTCAGCTCATGAAACATGGAACCAACACTTTACATGTTGCCTTTATATTTTTGTTTAGTGTATTTTCATCATAAGCAAAACCTATTGCTTTTCTACCCAAAGTTGCAAAGAAAATGTGATCCATTTAATAAAATGTAAGAGACCAGCTAAATTAATTAAAGTATCAGGAACAGCGGCATCTAGTGGGCAGAACGTGGTACATTCACAATTTATGGTAAACAATGCAAGCGACTTCAATGGCTAATTTCTCTGAACAGATGGGAAAAAAACATCACCAGATTCACAGGGAAAACATTACAAAGGATGAAGAAGCAATACTCCAAGCAGCAGATTCATACCACTTGTCAAACAGAGAACTGATACTGTATACTGGTTGATGGGGTGGGATTTTGCTGGGGTGTATGTGGTCCATGGGAGGTTTTTGACCATTTTATTCGATTCTTCATGTCTTACTCATTGTTAGGTTAGATTGATGGTCCAAATCGAATGTTAGGTACTATATTTATTGAAGATTATATGAATCCTGAAATTCAAATAGCCAATTTGGGTGCAATTAATTAACTTAATTTCTCAGAGATCAAATTATATTTAAACAAATTAATGTTTCAGGAATGCTGATCTTATCCATTTCTAACTACATAAACCATTTCAGAACAATCTGAGATGGTGGGTGTCGAAATCCTCTTTCTTGTGCTTTTTGAGGTGGAATGACTCATTTTAGTCATGGTCCTCTTCATTTTAGCCAATCATTTTCCAGCAATACTGAAACGCTTGTTGATGGCAGATTATGTGGTTGGCTGTCCTTGAGGTTGCTATGATACAAGCCATTAGGGTAGGCTGCGCTGCCTGAAGTTGCTAAGAATCCAGGTGAGGAACGCTTGCCTTGAATTCACCTGCAGGACTTCTTATTTCGATTAAAAATAAATAGTTAATATTGCAAAAATAATTAAACTAGGGGTACTATGGTACTAGAATGAATAAGAAACACTATGGCACATGTATATAAGGCACTATTCACTGATAGAAACTGCCCACAACCAAGGTCAAATAAAACAACACACCCCTGGAGGTGTAAAACACACATGAAATTGACAAACACAATTTCTCTCTGTATCAAACTTCCAAGTAGAGTTCATTCCAGCGCAGTATGCATCTTTCATGCTTTTTATTTTTTTCACCTTTACTTAACCAGGTAAGCCAGTTGAGAACAAGTTCTCATTTACAACTGCGACCTGGCCAAGATAAAGCAAAGCAGTGCGATAAAAACAACACAGAGTTACATATGGGGTACACAAAACATAAAGTCAAAAATACAACAGAAAATATATATACAGTGTGTGCGAATGTAGTAAGTTATGGAGGTAAGGCAATAAATAGGCCATAGTGCAAAATAGTTACAATTTTGTATTAACACTGGAATGATAGATGTGCAAAAGATGATGTGCAAATAGAGATACAGGGGTGTAAATTAGCTAAATAAATAACAATATGGGGATGAGGTAGTTGGGTGGGCTAATTTCAGAATGGTGGTGTACAGGTGCAGTGATCGGTAAGCTGCTCTGACAACTGACGCTTAAAGTTAGTGAGGGAGATAAGAGTCTCCAGCTTCAGAGATTTTTGCAGTTTGTTCCAGTCATTGGCAGCAGAGAACTGGAAGGAATGGCGGCCAAAGGAGGTGTTGGCTTTGGGGATGACCAGTGAGATATACCTGCTGGAGCGCAGACTACGGGTGGGTGTTGCTATGGTGACCAGTGAGCTAAGATAAGACGGGGATTTGCCTAGCAGTGATTTATAGATGACCTGGTGCCAGTGGGTTTGGCGACGAATATGTAGTGAGGGCCAGCCAACAAGAGCGTACAGGTCACAATGGTGGGTAGTATATGGGGCTTTGGTGACAAAACAGATGGCACTGTGATAGACTACATCCAATTTGCTGAGTAGGGTGTTGGAGGCTATTTTGTAAATGACATCGCCGAAGTCAAGGATCGGTAGGATAGTCAGTTTTACGAGGGCATGTTCGTTGCGAAATAGGAAGCCGATTCTAGATCTAACTTTTGATTGGAGATGCTTAATGTGAGTCTGGAAGGAGAGTTTACAGTCTAACCAGACACCTAGGTATTTGTAGTTGTCCACATACTCTAGGTCAGACCCGCCGAGAGTAGTGATTCTAGTCGGGTGGGCGGGTGCAAGCAGCGTTCGATTGAAGAGCATGCATTTAGTTGTACTAGTGTTTAAGAGCAGTTGGAGGCTACGGAAGGAGTGTTGTATGGTGTTGAAGCTCGTTTGGAGGTTTGTTAACACTGTGTCCAATGAAGGGCCAGATGTATACAAAATGGTATCGTCCGCATAGAGGTGGATCCGAGCTTCACCAGCAGCAAGAGCGACATCATTGATATACACAGAGAATAGAGTCGGCCCGAGAATTGAACCCTGTGGCACCCCCATAGAGACGGCCAGAGGTCCAGACAACAGGCCCTCCGATTTGACACATTGGACTCTATCTGAGAAATAGTTGGTGAACCAGGCGAGGCAGTCATTAGAGAAACCAAGGCTATTTAGTCTGCCAATAAGAATGCGGTGGTTAACAGAGTCGAAAGCCTTGGCCAGGTCGATGAAGACGGCTGCGCAGTACTGTCTTTTATCGATCGCGGTTATAATATCGTTTAGGACCTTGAGCGTGGCTGAGGTGCACCCATGACCAGCTCGGAAACCGGATTGCATAGCAGAGAAGGTACGGTGGGATTCGAAATGGTCGGTGATCTGTTTGTTAACTTGGCTTTCAAATGCTTTCGAAAAGGCAGGGCAGGGTGGATATAGGTCTGTAACAGTTTGGATCTAGAGTGTCACCCCCTTTGAAGAGGGGGATGACCGCGGCAGCTTTCCAATCTCTGGGGATCTCAGACGTTACGAAAGAGAGGTTGAACAGGCTAGTAATAGGGGTTGCGACAATTCCAGCGGCTAATTTTAGAAAGAAATGGTCCAGATTGTCTAGCCCAGCTGATTTGTAGGGGTCCAGATTTTTCAGCTCTTTCAGAACATCAGCGGTCTGAATTTGTGTGGGGGGGGGGGGGGGGGGGGGGGGCATGTGCAAGTTGCAGCGGAGGGTGCAGAGCTGGTGGCCTGGGTAGTGGTAGCCAGGTGGAAAGCATGGCCAGCCATCGTTTCAAAATGCTTGTTGAAATTCTCGATTATTGTAGATTTATTGGTGGTGAAAGTGTTTCCTAGCCTCAGTGCAGTGGGCAGTTGGGAGGAGGTGCTCTTATTCTCCATGGACTTTACAGTGTCCCAAAACTTTTTGGAGTTAGTGCTACAGGATGCAAATTTCTGTTTGAAAAAGCTAGCCTTGGCTTTCCTAACTGATTGTGTATATTGGTTCCTGACTTCCCTGAAAAGTTGCATATCGCGGGGGCTGTTCGATGCTAATGCAGTACGCCACAGGATGTTTTTGTGCTGGTCAAGGGCAATCAAGTCTGAGGAGAACCAGGGGCTATATCTGTTCTTAGTTCAAAAAATTTTGAATGGGGCATGCTTATTTAAGATTGAGAGGAAAGCACTTTTAATGAACAACCAGGCACCCTCTACTGACGGAATGAGGTCAATATCCATCCAGGATACCCGGGCCAGGTCAATTAGAAAGGCCTGCTCGCTAAAGTGTTTTATGGAGCGTTTGACAGTGATGAGGGGTGGTCGTTTGACCGCGGACCCATTACGGACGCAAGCAATAAGGCAGTGATCGCTGAGAGCAGGCATCAGCTGTATAGCTGAGTTATCATAAGGTCCGGTGAACAGCAATAGGAGAGTTCGGAGGTAGTTCGGGGGCTGCTATAGCACTGGCGAGCAAGAGGCCACGGCTTGCGTGTGCTAGCGG